CGATTTTAATGGGGGTTTGGGAAGATTTTTAGGCATGTATTTAAAGGAATATTTTCATTGATGTATTATTGTATTATGTGATGGAAAATGAAATTAAACAGGAACAATAAAAAACTAAGCAGGAATGTTTGAAAATAAATTAAGGAACTTTTAATTTATGCTATGCTTATATAAAGTGTTTATCTGTCAGGAATAATTCCTTTTATCTCTCAATTGGAACAATAATGCACTTGATACAGAATATTAACTGAATTGCATAATAAAAAGATACTGAGAACGAGGGGAAAGATCTGGTATAATAAATTATTGTTCTCTTGTCTGAAACAACAAGAAAAATTTCTAGTATTAAGGATGCTCAGCCATAATTACACAGAAGAAAGTTAATTAAAATAGCTCTTATCTACGATTACCCATGGCCACATTGTTTAGCTAACAGTCTTAATTTCTACATGAAATAAAAGATGTTATTAATCCAGGCAAAACAGGAAAAGTTCCTGGTCCCTGATTGTTATGGTATTGGTTTTCCAAAAAGCCATTAAAACCTGGCTCCTCTAGATGCAGGGCTTTTCAACCTTTTCAGATTGTGCCACTTTTAGGACATGACAATATTTGACTACCATTGTCTCGACCTAGCAGCCCTGCGGCTCCTGAGGACTCTCTCACAATAAGTCCTGAGCTGCGCTGCTTTGGCTCGTTCCCTCCCCCTGCTACATATAAGGAACGGTTGCGAGAATTGGGTATGTCTAGTTTAACGAAGAGAAGGACAAGGGGGGACATGATAGCAGTATTCCAATATCTCAGGGGCTGCCATAAAGAAGAGGGAATTAAGCTATTTTCCAAAGCACCTGAAGGCAGGACAAGAAGCAACGGGTGGAAACTAATCAAGGAGAGAAGCAACCTAGAACTAAGGAGAAACTTCCTGACAGTGAGAACAATTAATCAGTGGAACAGCTTGCCTCCAGAAGCAGTAAATGCTCCAACACTGGAAGTTTTTAAGAAGAGACTGGACAGCCATTTGTCCGAAATGGTGTAGGGTTTCCTGCCCGAGCAGGGGGTTGGACTAGATGACCTCCAAGGTCCCTTCCAACTTTACTACTATTATTATTATTATTATTTGGCTAAGCTGGGCAGGGTCACATACCACCTGCCAAGGGCCAATGTACCACCAGTGGTACATGTACCACTGGTTGAAAAGCCCTGCTCTAGAGAGCCTTGGAATAAATTAGTGATGAGTGAAACTCTCCTACTGTGGATGTGGATATATATAGTAGGTAGTCCTTGACTTATGACCATTCTTTTAGTAATGGTTGAAAGTTACAGTGCACTGAAAAAAGTGACTTACTAGATCAGTGGTGGCAAACCTATGGCATGCATGCCAGAGGCGGTACTCAGAGCCCTCTCTGTGGGCACATGAACCATGCCCCAGAGATGGCAACCATCCCTCTTCAACTAGCTGCCCGATAACTCGCTAAAGTCTCATGTGGCCGGATACATCCCAGCACGGCTGGTTTCTTCCGTTCCGTCCCTCCTGGCTTCGCATGCTCTCCTTTTCCCATGGACAACCCACTGCATCGCCTCCTCAGCTGTCAGTCAGCCGTCCAGCTCAGAGGCAGCTTCTCTGAACTGCTGGCGGCAGGCTGCAGAGCCCCACAGTGCGCCGGTCAAGGGGCCGGCAGGCTGTGGCTGCTGATGGACACTGTCAGCCCCCATGCACTCGTTGCCCTCTGGGCTGACGGTATCAGGCAGCAGCCGCCCCGGCCCCTGCTTCACCTTGCCCTGTGACAATAGCACCCCCGCCCTGTCTCGCCTTGCCTCACCCTGCAGGAAGAGCCTCCTGCCCACCACCCCACCTGCCAGAGACCCCCTGGATCTCCAACCCTGCCTGGCCCCCACAGGCGTCCCTCCCCCACGAGCAACATTGAGTGACCACGCCTACATTGGCCACACCCACCCAGTCTACCATGACCACCGCAGCCACACCCACCCAGTGGGCCATGCCCACCTAGCACCCAGTGATAAATAAGTGGGTTTTGGGTTGCAGTTTGGGCACTCGGTCTCTAAAAGGTTCGCCATCACTGTACTAGGTGATCATATGATCACCATCTGTGACCTTTCCAGCTGGCTTCTAACAAGCAAAAATGTGCTTAATGACCGCATGATTTGCTTGGCAAGAAAAATCATAAAATCAGGCATGACTCACTTGCCAACTGCCTTGCATAGCAACAGAAATTCTAGTCCCAAATGTGGTTGTAAGTTGAGGACTACCTATAATGATTTTTTGGGTCAGTTGCTTTGTTTTCATTTGTTTCATTAGTTTTATTTTAAGGGTGTGATTTTTCTTATTGTGACATACTTAAAGTCAAGTTAGATTGACTATAAATAAATATTTTTACTTTTATTGGAAGCTTATAAAAATGAGTTTTGATAATTTTTCCTAACTTCTTCTAACAAGGTCTATGTAACTGGTACTTGCTTGCTAATTCTGCAAATAATTATCCAATTTCCTTGTTAAATATATTTCGTTAAATGCCAAAATTTTGATTCTGAACCCAGACTACAGACAAAATTATCTTTGTTTGCACAATATAATATCGTAAAATGCTAACATGACTCAAATAGACCAGCAGATATTTTAGATATACTTCTAAAAAAATTGGAATCTGTAGCTGGCAGCCTAGTTGGACATACAAAGGTTATTTGATATTGTGCAGTGGAAATTTCTGCAGCTGATGTTGGCCCAGTATGGATTTATTGATAATTGTTTTCAATTAAAAAGGGTATCAGTTATTAAAATAGCAAATAAGTGAAAACTTTCCTTCCTTCACAAAACAGGGGTTTCAACTCTCTGCACAGAAAGAAAGAGGTAATTCTCTGCACAGAAAGAAAAGGTAACGAACAAGCATTTAGTGTCCTGAAAATTACTTTATATTGGTCTCTCATTTGAAAGTAGAGTAGTTGTTGGAATTCTTGTGTTGTAACTTTCACTTTCCTTCTAATAAACGTGTTTTCACGTTCCACCTTTTCAAAGCAGCCAGCTTCCAGCTCCTTTGGCAGCTCCTTCCATTGTAAAATATGTGCAAGAATCATAAAAAGATTTTACCATCGACTTAGATATATAGAGAAATATCATTTGCAAGTAAAACTAAAGTTCTCATAGGAATTCATATGTTGTAAACTCTACTAATAAATATTAATAACTAAAGGGTAGGAGATTTCCTCTTTGGAGTAACTAGTTCTTGTCTAAACTCCAGGCAATAATATTAATCAAAGCTCTTAGATTTGTTTTATTGTTATGTCTGTTTCAGACTGCAGTGAAGAAGTCCTTTTTAAAATAAAATGTGGTATTCTAATCCTTCATCCAAGATTATCACAAATAGAATTTTCCTCATATTTTTAATATTTTGTTTTGACCTCATCAAGGATCAGAGACGTCCATGAAGTGGGAAGAAATGAGGGAATGAGTATTGTGCTATTGTGATTCAAGCTTTAGTCCTTCTGTAAATGCATGGTGACATCATACACGCATATAATATGAGCAGATGTTAGATTATGATGGTGCAACATTCCTTTCATCATTTTGATAAAAGAATTGGAACCTGCAATAAAGGATATACTTTTATTGAGGATCTGCCTTCTCTCCATCCTCTTATATTTAATTTGATATTGAGACTATTGTTCAGGCAATAGAAAACCCTGCACCAATTATTATTCCATACTGATATCTTATTGTTACGAAAGTTGTGTATCAGAATTCATTAATGCAGTAAAAAAAAGTTTGGAAAGTTAATAAGTTACTCATTTAGCTGAATTAAATATAAAGAGTTTATACACTTCCTATAAACTCTTAAGATATTTATGGAAATTTTACTTGCTGTTTAGATTTGTTTAAATATTTCAGAAGAAATATTCTTAAATTTTTTCTTAGCTTGCAGATATAAATGTTTGAACATGCTTAAATATTCCAACAGATTAATATTGATATAGAAATTTGGTTTAAAAAACCCACAACCCTCAGTGAGTTTACTGGACAGCCAGCATACTCATTTGTCTAGCACAGTGGTTCTCAACCTGTGGGTCGGGACCCCATTTGGGGTTGAACGACCATTTCATGGGGGTCACCAAACAATGCAGTCCGCCATTTTTTCCCCTTTTCCTTAGCTGTGCTACTCCCTTTTATTCTATTGGCTTTTGAAAGCCAATAGAATAGACTCTCTTGAATAGAGTCTAATTCTATTGGCTTTCAAAAGCCAATAGGAATTGTCCAGGCTGTCTCTGCCCTGCTGAGCCCGCCAAAAGTCCCCTTCTGCAAATGGTGCTGCACCAGTTGAGTAGTCCTCGACTTACGACCGGTTGAGTAGTCCTCGACGTACGACCGGTTTGGGGTCAAGGCATTAAAAAGGTTGAGAACCACTGGTCTAGCAGTAGTTGGGAAACATATGCACACACACGTACATATGTCATTGGCTCTTAATGAATGTTGGATATTACTCAATGTTGATTCAGCCTTTCATTCTTCCGAGGTCAATAAAATGAGGACCCAGATTGTTAGGGGCAATATGCTGACTCTAAGCAGAGAGGGCTGTAAAGTGGTATACAAGTCTAAGTGCTATTGCTACTACTACCTGCCACTGACTGCAAAGGACTTCTCATTGCAAAGTCTCAGGTTCCACTCCCCATTCTATATCTTTATGGGTGCCTTCCAGGATTTTGGGGAGGAATTCTTTGCACACATATCTGGATATACATTTGAGTAAAGAGTTCCTGGAAATAGTCTTTGGCAATGAGTCAGGCCACTGAGCGCAGTTTTGCCTACAGTGACTAGCAGCGGCTCCTCAGTTGCAGATCATGGTTGTTTCCTAGCTCTTTCTTCAATCAATGCTACTGAACGTTGGGCTTTTCTATGCAAAGTATGGTTTCTCCCACTGACTTATGGCTTTTTGTTGACATTGTCCCATTGCTGAGCAAGGACTCTATTTCATCACAGAGATTCCATTACAATATAGATATTGTACATTTTATTATAATTGAACCAGATCATTGAATCTACAGCTTAACTCACAATCTAGAAAGAGAGAGAGAGAGAGGAAGAGAGAGATTTTCTACAACATATTTTGTTCCTGTTTGCTATTTCTTGCAGAGACCGCCAATGAATGCTAGGAAGACTGAACATTTTCCCTGATAAACCATCTTTTTCTATTCATTACTGCTGGCTGGGCTTTGTTGTTATAGAAAGTAGAAAACCAGAGAGAATGCACTGCACTGTGGTTGCAGTCCTTGTTAACTTGGTTTAGAAACTGCTGCCCATTAATCAATGTTTAATATTGTCATATTGGCTATAGAGTGCCAACCCACACAAAGGCCGTGTGTGATTTAATGGGAGAGGTTTTGACCAAACTCCTTGTCTGCCCTCCTTTCCCAAGCACTTATAAAAAAATTCAGAATATAAATTGTTGAATGCTAATGGGGGATTGTTCCGCAAACAGAGAAGCCTCAAGTCATATTTTTTTAAAAAATGGAGCCTGCTATTCCTTTCATCTTGTCAACTGAACCAGACTTTCTTTTATGTTATAATTGTGCCTGGCAGTGCTTGATCTCGATAATCCTAGGGGTACTTGGTGTACCACTTAAAAACAGAGATAAACAGAAGTTTTCCTTCAAAACATTTTCAAACTCAGACTGACTAAACAGGTTCAAAATGATAAAGGTTTCAGTGCCAGAGGAAGAACTATTTGGCCAAAATATATTGTCCATTGTCAATCTATCTACCATCCCCATCCCCCAATATTACTACATTGAATTTCAAAATACTATTTTGGAGACTAAAATTTAGCTATTAAAAGTCAAGGGCTCAGATTTGGAGGGTCTGAGCCTAAAAAAACTGGAGGATGATAACAGACTATAAATTTGTATGACAAAAATTCTTTCAAAATGTTTACCTTATTTTGGCTTTGGAATGGCCATAGGACAGAATTAATTGCTCCAGTTTCTACAGGAGCAACTTCTGGAGAGAAACCTTAAAACTAAATGGGATGATTTGCAGATTTCATATTTATGAAACAGAGAAAATCTAACCAATAGAGCAGTGTTTTTCAACCTCAACAGCTTTGAGCTTCAACAACTTTAAAATGTGTGGGCTTCAACTTCCAGAATTTCCAGCAGGCTGTCTGGGAAATTCTGAGAGTCAAAGTTCACATACCTTAAAGTTTCTGAGATTGAGAAGTGCAATAAAAATGCTTCCACAGATGTGCTTGACCCATCATTTTATTTTTATTATGCTAACAAAGGATCGACCAATATTTCTGTTCCTCTATCCTGCATGTCTTCAGCTATTTTAATATTCAATTTGTCAGATTACTAGTCCTCATTATGTCTATTTTTAGAGCTATCCTTTGACTTGATAGAAAAGGTTCTTCAGAGATTTCAGAGGCTTGTCAAGGAAATCCTATAGATGCATATTTCTTCCCCCCCCCCATGGTAACTAATGCCTTACAAACCTCTGGGCCATGACCCACAAGTGGGCTGTGATGTGTTTGCATCCGGGCCATGGAAACAGGCGAGCATCCCCACACGCGAGCAGTGGGCGAGCGCATGCATGTACACTCCATTTCCGTGAGCAATAGGTGCCCATGCACACTACTGGTGCAAATGGAGCTGCGCAGATGCACACACTTGCTGGCCGCTCACGCAGAATCATCCCCTCTCTCCCTCTGCCCCCGCTGGTCCGCAAGACTGGAAAGGTTGGGGAACTCTGCCTTACAACTTGGCATGATCAGGGACAGGTTAAGTTAATCACTTGGGAAGGTGCACTTTATGCCCATATGTGCATTTTGCATTAAAGCTATTATTTGTATACTGTAAACTTGACTGAGTTTTGACATGGTTTGCAAGGAAGGTATCTGGTTGTGCCATCCTGCTAAATTACATTAGAGCCAATTCCAGGACAGCTCACCTGTACAACTACCATAGCAATTCTCAGTCTCTCCCTCTCTCTTCTGGTTTTGTTTAGCTGATTGAAGAACTTGTCATCCAAGTTCAACAGCTTGACGTGTGTAGATTAATATTCATACAAAGTGCTTGTCTTATACTACATCAGGCTGATAGTCCGCCATTTCCAACAACCCTTGGGCTTTTCAGCCAGCCTTTTGTTATGGGGCAGATAGTATCACATGTCAGTTCATACTATTTGTCCAGCTAGCTCTTCATTGTTTGCTCTCAGCAACAGTTCTCCAAAGTATTAGGAAGAGAAAAGTCAAGAACTATCACTTGGACCTTTTCAACAAATACACCTGAAATCAAATTGGTTTCTGCAGATGGCAGCATCTATCAGGAGGTGCTTGGCATCTGTTATTGTTGGCCATATCAACAATTTCAGGGTGTAGCAATTAGGCTGTGGCTTGTTTCAGGCCCACAGAGGTGGATCCTCTTTTAAAAACTGAAAATCCAGTATTCATCTCTGCATCCTTCCTTCCTTCCTTCCTTCCTTCCTTCCTTCCTTCCTTCCTTCCTTCCTTCCTTCCTTCCTTCCTTCCTTCCTTCCTTCCCCATACATCCACCTCAATTTGTGACAGCTATCAGAGTTCTTCTTCCCCGATAAATATGACAGAATTATCCCACCCATCTCCTTTTTGTCCAAATAAATTAAACCCCAAACTTCAGTTGATACCAAAATTGAAATAAATATCTGCAAGAAATAAATTAAAAAGTCAACCCCAAGGAAGAATCTTCTGTGAGCTGTTTGTTAGGAAAATAAGAACAAGAAATTAAAAATGTCCCCTCCCCCGCTTTTCTTCCTTTTCCAGCATCCAAAGTTCTTTGCTGGAATTGAAATTTGTTCATTTGTTCTATTTATCTTATGGAATCGTAGGTGCGTTAATCCTCTGGAAAATTCTTTCTACCTTTTACTGGTAGAAATTAAATTTAAAGAATGCAATGAGAGTAATGTGCCTCTCCTCCATGTAAACAGCCATATATTTGGGTCCTTGCCAGGAAAGACTTGATCCACACCAAAATGTCACATCCTATTTGAGTTTTTTATCCTATCTGTTGCATTTCCGAAAGTGGCTTCGTGGTTTTCCCTGGAGCACATGGGTCCTGCCTACAGAATTTCTGACTCCCCACATAAGGTTTGGGCCCAAATTCATCAGGCCCTTGCCCACGGGACGCATCTAGCATCTCCAGGAATGCCAGGATGAGTCCCTGAAGGGACCAGAGAAATGACGAAGACAAGCCCTAGTGGAGGAATTAAGCTGGGCCATGCCTGGAAAAAGGGGAGGGAGACAGGATTGGAGAGAAAGCTGAACCAGCTCATTCCTCAAAGTGGCTGGCAGGAATTGCTCAAAATCCAGTGCTCTCAGAACTGCTTCGGCTGTTGTAGCTTGGACTGCGGCTCTGGGTGCGAGTCCGGCTCCTGCTGCTGCTGTAGCTGTCATAGCTGCGACTGCGGCTGCGACTGTAGGAGTAGCTGGTAAGTGAGCTGGAAGAGGAAGGGCTGGGTCGGTAGTAGGGGATTGGACGCTTCCGAGCACTGGGAGAAGAAAAAGAAAGAGAGTCTCATACCCTGGCAATAAAATCATCATAATAATATATGCAGTGAATGGAACTGAAGGAGGGAGGCGTTGGCTTTAGCACAGAGGACAGCTTTAAAACTTGTAACAGAAGGATTATTTTTTTTTAATGTAATGCAAAAAGCTGTGGAAAAGATGATCCAAAGCTCTTATTCTAATCCTAAATGTTCTTAACTAAAATGGTTAAAAAAAACCTCCCAGAACTGCTAGGTTGAAATCTGTATGTTTGTGATGTTTAAAAAATAAAATTCAAAAGCTGTGCTTGTTATCATGTTTTCATTTATAGCAAGTTCCTACAAAAAGAGTGCAAAAGAGACAGACTGAAAACATCCTCACCAATTGACAAAAGTTACTAATGCACAGCACTGATGATCATAATTTTAACCTTGAATTCTTAGAAGTGTTTTGTCAAGTCTACTCACTTCCTATTTATTTTTTAAATTGAAATTTCTTTTCTAAAAGACAGTCAGATGGGATATACAGTAAATAAATATGATAATATGTAGGAGTCTTCTAACAGGAGTTTTAAATGTTCAATTCATAATTTATTTATTTTTTAATGCAAACAATGGAAAATAGAATTTGCAGCCATTTAAGATTAAACTAGAGAATTTCCAGATTTGTTCCTTTTTATCTGGTGTGATCAGAGTAAGTGGAATTGTAACTCCTCCTAAATACTTCCTCTTATTAAACTGGACCCTTCAGTGCTAAAGCTGCAGCCCCACCAGTAGTTAGTCCTGGATTAGCCAGCTAAAACAACCAAATGTGAAAGAATTAATAATGTTTGTGATTTGCTGGAGACACTGGAGAATTAAAGCTGTAAGAAAACAGAGGTTAGATGTTAGTTAGAAGCAGACTTTTTCCTGGAAGCAGCACTGCCTCACTCTAAAGAAGTGTTATTTCCTGGCCAAAAGCCCACCCATAATTCTCCATAGAATTAAAGTCCCAGGAGACACAGTAGACTAACTATAAATATTGACTCCATCCCAAGCCAGGATATATATAATTTAAATATTATAATTTCAAGCCTGTTTGTAACTCTTAGAAATGTTATGGGAGCAATTTTCTTCTAGTTTCTTCCCAGAACATTATGAGAGGAATAAATAAAATACAGGAAATTCTCAGCCTCATATTTGCATCTGTCCTGTGGTAGATGTAAAGAGAATATTAATTTGTGCTGAAAGAATCACTGATCTAAACCATGGGATCTTGAATAAAGGCTCAGTAGAAACAATTGGGAGTATCCTGGATCAAGCATGCCATGACTGCATTGAATAAAGCAAATGAGTGAATGGACTGTATACTGAATATATTGTTAGATTGGTGGTGTGTATTTACATTCACAACCCTTCTCTGGATGTTGATGTTTGTGTGAAACTACCTTCAGTCACTCCAATAAATCTTCAGATTCCTCCAGTTTCAGATAACCTGACACATGGCACCTCAGAGTAATTCTGAACTTTTTAGAATCCGCTTGAATTTCCATTAGTTTTCTGCGTGGCGGGCCAGATTAGATATCTCTACTGAGGGTATACAAAGAATATCTTTATTCTGGATGTATCAAAGATTTCCACTAAATCTAGGCTTACAATGTTGTTATGCTGCACAATGTTGAGAAATAATATATCTCTCTTGGACTGGACCCAAATTAATGACTAATCAATGCTGCAAGATGAGGCCAAATTGCTTAGGCAGACTTGATGTATATTAAATCGCTCCCAATTTCAGGGTGATAGGAAATCAATTAGGTTTTTGCTGAACATAGATTTAGGCCTAAGGAACTCATCTGATGCCCTGGAAATGCTTGGTGTATTATAGTGATTAAGGTATCAGGCTAGAAACCAGGAGACTATGAGTTTTAGTCCCGCCTTAAATACGAAGCCCTCTGGATGACCTTGGGCCAGTCATATCCTCTCAACCCTAGGAAGAATGGCAAGCGACTTCTGAAATCTTTCCAAGAAAACTTCAGAAACTAATCCAGGCAATCGCCAAATGTCAGTACTGACTCAAAGGCACATATGTATCATCTTCAGCAATAGACATTTGTTAGAGAGTATTTTTCATATGAAAAAGGAGTGGAAGAGAAAATAATTCTTTATACCACTTCAAAACTTACCTCTCTTTGCAATGTTTTGCCCTCACTGACTATGAAAATAAACCAGTCAAGGATCATGGAATCAGCATTATGTCATGGTGGCAGATTTAATTTGACATGTGATGAAATCACACAGCCTGATCAGAAGGAGGGCATGTTTCCTATTCTTTGAAATTCAAAACATTTCACCCTTTTGACAAATTGTCACTATAGCATGGAGACAGAGAAATTTCCCAGGGGGCAATTTTTAGAATATTTGAAAAATGTAGCCCTTTTTTTCATCCAGTCCTCTAATTTTAGAGGACAAGGAAAAAGTCCCATTCTTCCCATCTGCAGCCAGATAAACTTCTCCTGATGTCGAAACGTGAAGGTGAAGCAATACCCTGTGGAGAACATGAAATGTGTGAGGAAGATAGGAGGGACTAGAAAGAAACCAGCCACTTTCATCAAAACCAAGCCCATCTATAATTTTCTCATGCTATTAGATACCAATCAAAGCAACACTTGAACTATTAGATGTGCCCATCATCCTAGCTTCATTATTAATGAGAGAGAGAGAGAGAGAGAGAGAGAGAGAGAGAGAGAGAGAGAGAGAGAGAGAGAGAGAGAGAGAGAAACAGAAGTGGTAAAGCATAGCTCTACAAATCTTCACAAAGTGATGGATTCAAGGACACACAGCAGATTTCTGATGGAAGGGAATGTTACCATGGTAACCCAGCCCTGCAGCTATGGGCTTCACTTGAAGTTTTTTCAGGAAGAACCTTGAAAGAGGATGGAAAAGGAGAAATTTGCATCTTTAACTGAGAGGGGAGCAAAGCAGAAGACAGTAAGAATGTGGGGGAATTGGTAGGTAAAGGGAATTACATTTGCACAAGAATAATGGACACGATAGAGCTCAGTTGTCTTTTAGATTTTACTAAAGGTTTTCATCAATTTATGAAGTTGAACCATCACTCCTTCCAATATTGAGTTTGAGGGAGTAGTGATTATTAAGGAAGTAATAAGAAAGTGGCTTTTAAAAATTTTGCATTGTAAGGGGTCATGTTTGCAGAAATAAGTAAACTTCTGAATCAAAATATTTATTTGTAAATAAAAATATAAATAAATTTATTTACGTCTATTTATATGCTACCCATCTGCCCGATAAGTCGACTCTGGCCAGCTTATATTATTTGATTAGAAAAACTCCCAAATTCCTTGATAATAACCTATGACAGTGGTGGCAAACCTATGGCACTCAGAGCCCTCTCTATGGGCATGCGCCATGCCCCAGAGATGGCAACCGTCCCTCTTCAACCAGCCGCCCACTAACTCGCCGATGTCCCACATGTCCGGATGCATCCCAGCATGGCTGGTTTCCCTCCCTCCCGTCCCATCCCTCCTGGCCTTGCATGCTCTCCTTTTCCTGGGCACGACCCACTGTATTGCCTCCTCAGCTGTCAGCTGTCCATCCAGCTCAGAGGCAGCTTCTCTGAACTACTGGTGGTGGGCTGCGAAGCCCCAGAGTGCGCCAGTTGAGGGGCTGGAAGGCTGTGGCTGCTGGCGGACATCATCAGCCCCCATGTGCTCACTAGCCTCACCTCGCCTTACCTCACCTCGCCTCACCCTGCAGGACGAGCCCACCTTGGCCACACCCTCCCAGTCTGCCATGACCACCACAGCCATGCCCACCCAGTGGGCCATGTCCACTGGCACCCGGTGATAAATAAGTTGGTTTTGGGTTACAGTTTGGGCACTCAGTCCCTAAAAGGTTCGCCATCACTGACCTATGAGTTTATAAAGTGCTGGTGGCAACTAGGAAGAAGAGGCAGAGGGGAGGGAAGTTAATTTTAAGGCACACTTCCCCAGTCTGATGCCCTCCAACTACGCTGGAGTAAAAACCCATTATCCTAGTCACACTGATTTTCAGTCAGATAGATCTGGAATAATCTGAGTTTGGAAAGGCAACTAAAGGAATTACATCAAACCAATATTCTGAATGAATGAATTAGCTTTACATTTAACTCATGGTTTGCTTCTGTGTAACTTGAAAAAAACCCAAAAGAAACTGGAAGGAAGAAGGAAAAAGCAGACTGACTGACTCTCTTAATAACCATCTTGGGAATATGGGCCCCCGAATATGTTTCCTATGTATTTTCTACAGAGAAATGCAACTGACAGGTTAATGCAGGAAGTCACGGTCTGTCAGACATTTCAGACTAAAGCTATTAAGGCAATGTTTCTCAGCCTTAGCTGCTTGAAAATGTGTGGACTTTTTTTTTTTTTAAGGAATAGAGAACTTAGTACAGGTAGTCCTCGACTTACAACCATTCATTTAGCAATTGCTCAAAGTTACAACAAAACTGAAAAAAAGTGATGTACAACTGGTTCTCATACTTATGATCACTGCACTATCCCCAAAAATCACATCATCCAAATTCAGGCACTTAGCAACCATTATGTATTTACAAGGTTTGTAGAGTGCTGGGGTCATGTGATTGCAATTTGTGACCTTACCAGCCAACTTCCAACAAAGCACAGTCAATGGGGGAAGCTGGATTTGCTTAACAACTGTGTGATTCACTTAATAATTCTTGCAGAAAGGATCATCCAATCAGCATAACTCTCTTAACAACTGCCCTGTTTAACAACAAAAAAATCTGGTTGCAATTGTGGTTATAAGTCAAGAACTATCTGTAAGCCAGGCAAAGCAAAAGCTTTTCTAGACAAAGAACTTAGTAAACATGCAGGAACAACACTTGGACTCAAATACATGTGCAAATTGTGAACATGGTCAGGTTTGAGGCTCACTGCTCTTTGCAATTAGACATTATAGCAGAAGCAAGTTCTAGATAAGAGTGAAAAAAGATGAGACCCTAGTTGTCTCTTCTGCTGGAAACTCTAACATCCTTTACCCCAATAGATGTCTGAATGTATCTCAAGCCCCCAATGCCTTCTCCTCTTCCCCTTTAGATGCTTATGTTTCCAAGCTATATTTCAGAGATGAAAAGATTTCAAATGCTAAATAATTTAAATAAAATGTTTCCCTTAATGCCAATATTATCTGTATAGGCACGTTATCAAAATGTTATACAAATTTCTGAAATTATAAGATGGTAACTTTCAGCTAAATTTCACATCTTTCCTTGTTTAGTCTCAATACTAGTTGAACTTTAATTCTGAAACCACTCCCAAGATTTATTTTGGAAACTCTTTCAATTTTATTTATTTATTTATCAAATTTCTATACTGCCTATCTCACCGAAGTGACTAGGTGGTTTTCAAACAATATTTTATTAATGCTGAGATATTATTCTGGCTTTTCTTTTATAATGATTTTATTCTGTAGAATCTTCCCCAAACACACAGAGATGAATTTGCCAGATGCAAATTTCTTGGCTTAATTGTACTAGTTCCCGTTATTAATGACAACTTTCTTCAACATAGGCTGGTTTTTATATAACTGCGACTGTAAGTACAATGTTTTCAGATGTATGTATTGTTCTTTAGCTGCAAACATTAGATTGAAGAATATTAATGTTATCAATCTTTTAGAATACTTTTCACTATGAAGCAGATCATGTAAACCTGTTTCCAGTGGAATTTGTCAGTGCTAGGTATATGCTGCATTGTTACCTCTAGAAATGTAGAAATTTGGATATTACAAATCAAGGATTTTTTAAATCACTAGATAGAACCATATTTCTGAACATTTTAGAGAATGCCTTAATTATTCTGAAATCAGTTTGTATTGGTACACTTTGGATGTTCTCAGATCAGCAGTTATCTGCCATGAACTCTACAAGCATATTATTTCATTTTTCAAATTTTTATTCTACATTTTGTTTGAAAAACAATTCTACGAAACTCAAAAGCTTTTTTTCAAGATCTGCTGTAAATAACAAATTTTGTCCCACGTGTTCAGGGGCTTATCATAGGAATGGAGAATCTAATATTTACCTAGTGATTCTTCTAGGCTCCATGAAACTTGGAGAATCACGCCTTCTCTTTCTGATGGGGGAGTAGCTGCGGGAACGTCGTCGGGCACGGGTTGTTTCTGTGTCACTATGACGTGTTCGTGGCTCATTGTCCTTCTCTCTAGTTGTTGAAAAAAAACCCACATTTAAATGCTACTTCTATACATATTTTACGACACTCTGGACTTGAGGAGTTCAGGTTATGAGATTGTGGTCAGCCTGTGCTATGCACTGTAGGTGAAATAATAATCAAGTTCCCACCAGGTCTAGAAACAAATCCACACTATAACACAGATATAACACTTATTTTACACGTTTACATCTCTCCTTGCTTATAAAATATTAATGTTACACTGCACTGCAGAAGGCAAATATTCAACTATTGCTGGAATTGAAAAAAGCAATTTATTTCTGAATGTCAAAAACAAAACAAAACCAACCTCCCCAACCTTCCAATATTTTTTTAAAAAGCAGCATCTTTAATAGATTTTAATCCTCAATAGACCCAGCGAAAATGGTACAAAAGAGTGTGCAAGTTTGGAACTCTTTAAAATCTTCATAATTTCTGGACTGCAGAAATAAAGGAACTGAGCAAGTGCTTTGGTGCTGTAGAATTTAATAAATTTAATTTAATTATCTGAGTTTCGTTACATGACAATTCACTGAGTTTTGTTACACCACAATCCATCCAATGCGCCTCTAATTCACTCTAGAGCCATTGTTCCTTTTCCCTGCATTGTGCTTACAGCCTGATGGAAAGTAGGAGGCCAGATTCGCAAGGAGGAGGGGGGTGCATTCCAGAGGGGTAAGAGGCAACTCAGTTCAGATAGTTTATGTGAGAGAAAAAGGGCAAAGACAGCCCCTTACTAATAGTACTCAGAGTATATGCTTGATGTAGATAGTAGGGTGATTCAGTTTGGCAAGATTCTGTGTATAGGTGTGGAACAATAAAGAAGTCTGCTTGGTTTTGAGGCCTGACACAGCCCTTAATTTCCAGAACAGCAGCAGGATCTCTTCTTAATGGACCCTAACTCACACTGGATGACCATGCAACTCACCAGGAAGGGCTCTGTTAAACTGCAATTACCATTACTTTCTCCATTCTGCAAACTGAGAGGAACAGGGCACAGCAGACCAAATATATTTATATTCTGAACCAAGTAATATGTGTACAGGTATTAACTATGGCTTGGAAGCAGCATCATAAAGAGTCCTGTATTTGTTCCTCAGCGTGTTGTGTATGCATAATTGCTAAAAGCAGAGTTGACTTTCTCACCATTTTATATACTTCAAATCATAGTACGACCAAAGAAGTTTTAAAATCAATGAAAAGGTATGCATTAAAAATGCCCCTAAAGTTTATTTATTTATTTATTTATGAGACTTATATACCGCTTTAAGTGCAAGCACTCTCTAAGCGGTGTACACTAGTAAGCAATGTATATATATATTTACATTGCCCCCAACAATCTGGGTCCTCATTTTACCTACCTCGGAAGGTTGGAAGGCTGAGTCAACCTTGAGCCGGTGAGATTTGAACCGCTGACCTGCTGAACACAGTCAGCTAAAGTGGCCTCAATCAGAATAGAGCTGGAAGGGATCTTGGAGATCTTCTAGTCCAATCCCCTGCTCAAGCAGGAAACCCTATACCATTTCAGACAAGTGACTGTCTCCAGACCTTTAGTCATCTTAGTTACTCTTCTTTACACTTTTTTTTCAAAGTCTCAACATCTTTTTTATAATGTGGTGACCAAACTGGATGCAGTATTCCAGGTGTGGTCTTAGTAAGGCTTTATAAAGCTGTATTAATATTTCATGTGATTTTGATTCTATGCCTCTGTTATACAACCAAGGATTGTATTAGCTACTTTGGCTGCTGTCGCACAATGCTGGCTCATATTTAAGTGATCGTCCACTAGGACTCCCAAGGTCCCTCTCACAGTTACTGTTTTTGAGCCAGGTTTCACCTAACCTATACATATACCTTTGGTTTTTCCTTCCTAAGTGTAAAAATCTTGCTTTTCTCCACATTAAATTCCATGTTGTTGGATAGGGCCCATTGTTCAAGTGTGTCAAGATCTGTTTGGATCCTTAGCTTGTCTTCTGGAATGTTGGCTATTCCTGCCAGCTTAGTGTCATCTGAAAATTTGATGAGTTCCCCTTTTATTCCCTCATCTAAGTCATTGATGAAGATATTGAAGAGTACTGAGCCTAAGACGGAACCTTGTGGTACTCCACTGCTTGTAGATGTAGACCATTAGGGATGACTCATTGAGTATAATTTGTCAAATCCATCTGATGGTGATGCTGTCTATCCCACATTTTTCTAGCTTACCAAGAAGTAGGTTGTGGTCTATTTTGTCGAATGCCTTGCTGAAGTCTAAATATACTACGGTATGTCCACAGCATTTCGCTGGCCTATTAATTTAGTTACTTTGTCAAAGAATGAAATAAGATTGGCTTGGCATTAACTGTTTTTAACAAACCCATGCTGGTTTTTAGTTATAACTTTATAACTAGAACTATCACCTTCCCCCCCACCCCCACGCAGCCTCCATACCTGCTGCTTGTTGTTTTTTTCTGTGATCCGGATCGAGTCCTGCTACGTCCAGCTCTCTTCTCCCGAGATCGGGATCGTGATTTTGATGGAGACCGGCTGGAGCTCCAGGAACTGCTTCGAGATACACTCCTCCTTCGTACAGAGTTGTGCCTGGAATGTTTGGCTGAAGTCGGAGAACAACTATGTGGTCTTCCCCGGTGGTGCCTCTCTTTTGTCCTAAAAGATGCACTGGGTTAAGATTTAAATGACCTCATGTTCAGATCCATGCAAAGGTACAGATACAAAATATGTTACCTTGTAAGGCCTAGGAACAGCCTGCTGGATTAGAATACAGATCTATCTAATTCAGTTCCCACTTCCTGTAGTGGCCATAACAGCCCTGACTTGCACCCTCAGCTGTTTATAAGTTTTCACCCATTGAATATGGAAGTTCAATTTTGTTATGGTCAAAAGCAGTTGATAACCTGGTTTAGTTATTCAGTATATTACTCCAGTGCATTATTCTTGCATATTTTTTTCAGATACTGCACTGGAGTAATATACTGAATAACTAAACCAGGTTATCAACTGCTTTTGACCATTGAACTTCCATATGTCAACAAAAAAAGACACTGCTATTTAGATCTATTTTCCCTAATCTGGTGGCTTCAGATATGTTGGGATACCAACATCCCAAGATTTTCAATAGAAAATGTTGGTTGTTGGAGTCTCAACACATCTGGAAAGTACCAATTTAGAAAATTGGCATTAGATTTGTTTTAGAAGAGATGCAAACCCAAATACAGATATCTTATTATCTGTACATGCCATTTGCTTCACTCCACTTTGCTTTCCAAAGAACTGATATGAATTCTACTAACTTTGTGAACAGAATGGGATATCTTATTTAAATAAAACCCTTAGGTTATTATATGGTCATTAGAATAATCACTCAATGGCTGCTGAATACTATTGTGGATTTCTTTCCCACGAAAGGAAAAGCCTGTTGTGAAATTCTCTATCAATTTCTTCCATAGAAAGACATGAGTTGTCATGTCAGAAACAGATATGGGAAGAAGATGGACAATAGGGCCTGTGAACAGCCACTTCCTTTTTTGATTCTGCCTGTTTTCTTGATCTAAAGGTTATTTAAACCTGGTCAATAACCAGAGTAAAGCACATTGATTTTGAATAGGCACCCTTCAGATGGCTATAAAAGCTTTGGAAAAATTAATGGAAGAGAGACTTGTAGAAGTCACTTATGACATTGCAGTGTTCTCAGGATGGATATGTTTGCAGGATATACTGTAAACTATTGGTCACACAGTCAGCCAGATGTTTAGACTGCATTTGACATTTTTGTCCACTAATGACATGGTATAGGCAGATGTTGTTTAATAATGTTGGAGATATTGTTGAAGGATGAAAGCTTATTATTATTAATATTATTATTGATCATTGCACAGTCAGCCAGATGTTCAGACTGGGTTTGGCATTTTTGTCTACCTATCGAGTCCAAGGACCTGGGATAGGCAGATGTGGATGTTTGATGGTGCTAAAGATATTGTCACAGGATGGAAGCTATTCCAAGTAAAGCTGCCTTTGGAACTGACTAATGGTGAATTTGTCAATGCCAATGGTGTTCAAATGGTGCTCCAGTTGTTTTGGGATTGCACCCAAGGTGCCTATTACTATTGCTTGCCTTTGCTTGCTTGCCTTTGCCACAGTCATTCTATTTCTATATGTAAGTCTTTGTATTTTATCTTCTCCAGTTCTTTCTCTTCTCTTCTATATATTATTGTTATTATTTAAGATTTAATTTGCAGTTCAATTCACAGTCTGGGACTGGTAAAATCTTAACAGTTCAAATCCTAACCAAGGATATTATTGTTGTTGTTGTTGTTATTTCAGAGAAAATGAACTAGTGAATATGTTGGATAGAGAGGATGGAAGTGAAGAAGCCTGTCATCTTGTTTGTGGTCGTGTTGGAAATTTCTCACTGGCAGATGAAAACATAGGATAGTCAAAAATGTTAGGAGGTATGATAGCGATATACATATCACCAAATAAGGGGACAAAGAGCATACATATTTATATAAAAGTGCACATACTAATTTGTTTGAATAGATTTAAATATGGAAAGAATGAATTCTGTCACACCATCATTCATTCCATTGTGCCACCTAAGGCACTGTAAAGCCAACTCACATCTCTCCATTGATCTCATTAATGGCTCTTTATAAGGGTATTTTATCATGGTACCAGAATTAGAGAGAGATGGAATTAAGAGTTGAGAGAGCTCTAAAATGAATACGATGTAAGAACAACAAAAAAGAGGATACCTAATGAAAAACAGAGTGAGGAAAAGGCAGTCGAGCAATCTAATTTTCTTTTGATAATTAAGCAGTTGATGTCAATGACAGTTGACACATTTTTTAGACCTGTGTTAAGCTTTCATGTTGGAATTAAATTCTAACAAAAAGGGAAAGTTCCTTTATAAAGCTATTCCTGTTCAGTTTTGGGGTGAACAGAGCTGTTTCCATCAGCAGGATGTAGAACAGAATTTTATGTTAAGTGACATCTGGTGTGCGAAGGACAGGAAGAAAACAGAATATTTCAAGATTTACAGCATACCTATGCTTTCTGGGGAACTTTTTATCTTAGGATGGCTGAGATATATCCCACTATAGATGCAGGATATTATCTGCTAGTGGTAGTACTTGATTATTAACAATTTAAATCTATCTTACTGTGGTGATGGACTGATCAGGTGACCCATATGTCTTGACAATCTGCTGTCCAAAAACTCATTGAGAGACATTGCAAATCTCTTCTTTGTTTTCATTATTCTTTTTCTTTAAACCAGGCTTGTTCTGGCCATTGCTCTGAATAATGTAGTGTCTTTGAAAACAGGATATACTTTACATAAATTCCTTTCAAAAGCAATTTTAAAAAGTTTAAGAACTGTAATCAATCTTCAAGTTTTTTTTTTCCAAAACAGATGGTCTTTTATTTTTGGGGTCTGGAGTACACAAAGCCCATTTTTGCAAATTTCTTCTGACTCCAGGAATGTGACTTACACAACAAACATTTGCCAGGCCACATGGATAACTCAAAATGTTTGCCGTCAAAAGCTACCTATTTGCTATTGAGATACAGCTAAACTCAATCCCAGATAGAATCTAATCCAAGGAGGTATTCCTGACTACAGAGTTGGATGCTTGAATCGAACTATTCATTCATGCACTGAACTAGTTATACATGCACCACAATTTTGGCTCTTACGTTTTCAGATGTACCCTGTGGTTCTTTTCTGCCCCGGTTGCTGCGTGGTATTGATGTGAATAGGTAGACCCTTCTGAGTCACTGCTATATCCTGTATGGCTGACCGACCAGGATGATTCCTTGCTTGCAGAGGTTTTGGCCCTGCGACGCCCTTTGCGCTTGTGTTTTGATGTGGATCTGGTGTGGCGCCTGTGGGAGGGTTTGTCTCCTCCAGAGCATCTCCCTGGGGATGTGGACCTCCGGGCGGTCTTGGCCCCATGTTTGTTCCCCCTGCTTTCTTTGGCGTGGAGCGATAGGGTTTCGGTCTTTATGTGCCCTTTGGCTGAAGGCGACAGGGAACCTAACCTCTGGCAGAATGAAAAAAAGGGAGCGAGCAGGAGGGGGGAAAAGAAAGAAAAAAAAGGAGAGGAGAGGTTTTTAAAAGAAACCCCCCACCAACAAGGAAAGCTGCAGTTCACAACGGCAATGCACAATGATTGAATAAGGCAGGCTACACAGAAACTACTCTGCACCTCGATCCCCTGTTCAATCTCTCGTCCTTAAACAACGCAGCTCATGCAAATCTCTGGCATGCAAAACAAAAAATGAACCAAAACCAAATGAAAATAGGAGGGAAAGTTCAATCAGGAGGAGGGAATCACCTTGGAAAAATGAAATTACATGATATATAATTTTTTGTAATGATTTTAAATGATATTTAAAAAGAGAGAAAGGGGAGGATGTGGATGAGGGAATATTATGGGATGAAGAAAGGATTAGAAACAGGGGTCCAAGTGTTCGGTTGGATTAAAAAAAATAATTTATTTGTTGGTAGCCAATCAAGGAGTAGAAGAGAAGACAGAAGCATGAGAAGGAACATGGTGGTGTAAATGATGGAAGGGGAAGGGGATGGTAGGGGGAAAAACAAATTTTAAACAAAAAGGAAACTCCACAAATGTCATCAGTACTGAAAATAAACAAAGAAAAGTTTCTGAACCCTTCCTGGGTTTTGAACTTTGTGCAGAGTCTCCACCAGCGTTCTATTCTCTTTTATTTCTCTTTAAATTTCACTTTATAATACTTTTGTTAAATTACCACTTTTTTAAAGTCCCTCTTGGTTAACGTCCACTTACCAAGAAAGTGGCATTTCCTCCTTTAGTAGGTAAGGTATGAAGAGAAGGGAAAAGTTGGGCAATATAAGTGAATCATTAGATTGACAAAAATGCAAGAGAGAAAGAGAGAGAAAGAAAGAGAAGAAGAGAGAGAAAGAGAGAAGAAAAATAAAAAAACAAAACCACCTTTGTCTCCTAGGGCCTTGCAGCAAACAATTAGGGAAAGGAGGGAAACAATCTCTTCATTCCTCTCTCTGGGTAAATTGACAACACTGGACTTCTGTTTGGCTCTTTTTTAAAACAAAAAACCCACCAAGTCTTTGTGCGTTGACCTTCTTCTCACTGAGAAGCAATGACAACATGGGGTAATGAGGATTTATAATAGATCTTTGGAGAGTTGAATATGGTTGGTGTCTTCCTAGCACAACCCAACCAATAATGCGGTTTCCATCCAGATTTGGAGTCTGAGAAATTTGTAACCCCCAGACTTGAAGCAGGAAGCCCACCTTCATCTTTGTCTACTGAAAATTTGAAGCAGTTTCTCTCCTTATCCTGACAGTTCATTCTGTCTCTGACTCTGAGCAACCAGGTCCCCTAATTCAGAACTCCTCCTGTCTCAAAAACCATGCAGACAGGGAATAGTGAAAATTGTGCATTGAAAGAATGCCATACTGGTGACATCCATTCAACTCTGCCATTAGCTTTGGTTATCACCCGATGTATTTTGAGAAATGTTTCAGAAGAACAGCAGTGTTCCTTCATTTCTCCCTTTCATCTAATCTAGTTCTGTTGTAGGTTGATGGATTCTCCTTTCTTTAGCAGAGGAAAATCTTTCCCTTCACTACTGCATTACCCCTTTTAACTTTAGTCATTGGAAAATTAGCCATGGATTTGTATGGAAACACGTACTTTAGGAGATGGACTTTCCCCCCCACAAATAAAAAGGTATATAGCCATAGCAGATATTTCTCAAATGTCATTTTTGTTCTAAGAAATATTGTGATACAGAAAAGCTTAATATGGATTCCGTGCTATTTCAGAATTCTATCACTATGAATAATGCATTAAGACAGAAGAAGCTAGGCTGACAGAGATCATTACCAAAGGTCATGGACCAGCATAAACAGAGATCATTAGGTTCTCTGTACTTCAAGCATTTATAAGCTTTTTACCAATGTTACATAGTATTTTTTCCTAGGAAACCCTGATTATTGTAATTTCCCATGAATCTTCAGTCTCACCCTTCATAGAACAGTTTCAAAAATCCCCTCATTAGAATAAAAGGCTGTACCAATGTAAATTTTCCTTGAACAATTGAATGGCAGAATGCAACTGGATCAGATAACAAATCTGTTTTCCTAAAATAGCTTAATGGTTTGTTCAAATTCTTTGAACAAGCAAGGTAAGGTATCGCCTAAATTTATGAATCCCTGATGAACTTTGCCTCAGTCATGTTAAGCTGGGTAGGTTTACAAACATCAATTTGCTTGATTATAATGATTAAATACACTGTGCAATGCCTTATTCCCATTAAAACAAAGCCTTATTTTCCATGTTTCTGGTTAGTTTTTCCAGCCAGCGAAATGAAAATAGTAATAAGCTTAACATAGTGCCTTCCCTAAAACGGCCGTGCTGGATGAGGAAAATGAATGTTGCAGTTCAGCACATCTGGAGGGCATCAGGTTAGGCAAGGCTGATCTATAGCTATCATGCTGCCGATAGGAACCATTTAGGGCTTCTCTTGGCCAGAAAAGGCCTTCACATTATTATCAAGGTTATTTTAAAATGGAATTAAAAACAAGTGTGTGGCTTAGTACTACAACCATATATCACAGATTATCTGAAAATGTCTCAACTAACATGGCATCCTATGATGAAGTTCTATCTCTGAGTTATTCTTAAAGAAGTTCAAAATAATAGGCACCACTGGGCACTATTTGACTCTGAAGAGTCTGGTATTATGGTTAAGGAGCCAGACCAGAAACAAGGAGACTGTGCATTCTAGCCCTGCCCTAGGCATGGAAGTATACTAGTTGACTTGGGCCAATCATTCTCTTTCAGCCCAACTCACCTATCAGGATAGTGGTTGTGAGGGAAATAGGAGAAGTAGTAATATATATATATCATCTTGAGTTATACAAAGACAGGTGGGATATATAGTATCTCAAATGAATAAATACATTTCCCACTTCTGAAGCCTGCCAGATGCCCTTGGACAAGTATATTGTTCAGGCTAAATTTGATAAATAAAGATGTTTACAAATAAGACCTTGTTCAGAAGTGATGGCTAGCGGGTGACTCTCTGGTGGGCAATCAAAGAGAATCTTAAGGATGACTGTGAGGTGAACAGTGAAGGAATGAGGCATATTACAAAGACTGCAATTGTTCACTATCTAGTAACCAATATAGACACAGACAAAATGATTGCAGGTAAAAGAATAATTACAAGGAAATGTAGTTTCCAAGATGTTTGGCATTTATCCTAAAAATGGATGTTATTATATTTCCCAAGATCCAAAGCTGGGATGTTATGTTGTGGGGATAAAGCCCCAGGAAAGCAATGAGGCAGAACTACTGAGGTCTGTAGTACTGTCAAAGCATTATGAATTTTGCATATTCATATTTAATCATAAAGCAGAAAATTATGAACTTAATGCTTTTTTGTTTTTCTTACAGTAAGAGAACTGAGAACTGAAAACAGCAATGGACAAAATGGCTTTAAAGGATTCTGCTTTACGAAGTGCTACATATTTACAACAAAAACAAGGAATGCTACCTATTGCCAAGAGTTTCTACTTGGTATTTTAGGGTCAGGAATAATTACTTTTAACTCAAAAGAGGCTCTATTTTGCATCTGGTAGGAATTCCAGGATCAGGTGGGAAGTTGAAAAAATATTTTGGAAAAAGCCATAGCAATCCATTTCTGTAATGCTAACAAGAAACTGCATGGGTGCTGTCACCAGACATTGATCTTGACTCAAGGGCATCTTTTCTTTTTTATATTTTTCCTCAAAAAGGACTTGCTTTTTAAGGCTTCAGAAAGCTAAAGTTTGGGAAATAGCTTGAGAATATCACCTGTCCAAAAACAAAAAATCCAGGCCACCAAATCTTTAGCTTTTTTGGCTGAGGATGTAGGCACAATAGACCAGTGCTTTTTTCTTTAAAAAAAAAAAAGGTGCCGTAACTGACACACCTCATACAACCTGCCTTGCTTACCCTACAAGGTCCCATCCAAAAAAGGTGCCGGAACTCTGTTCTGGGCGTTCTATGAGAAAAAAAGCCCTGCAATAGACTATGGGCAACACCTGGAGAAATCTCAGAAGCTGGATATGGGAATATGGAGAAACTCTGGGTCAAAAGGAAGGAAGGGACTTCTCCATGTGTTTCTGTGATAAGCACAACTTCTGTAGTGGAGAAAACTGCTAAACTCAGTGAAACTCTGGGGACACACAGAGAGAAATTCAGTGCACTTTTTGCAAAATCTTCAAATATATTAATATCTAAGATCCGTGATCATGTAGACTTGAGTTCATCATACTGAACTCAAAACATTTTTGGCACAGGACTTGTAATGTGTGGTTTTAAAGTCACATTAAATGTGAATGTATATATTACATTTTAAAAAATCTTTAAGGAATGAGGACTCTTTTGATTCTTTCTTCATGTTCTACCAATATTAAAATTCTATGTGATGCTAATGCAACTCTGTCATCTCAGATAGTCTAACCTAATCTGGTGAGCTGCAGATACGTTGATGGGGTATAACTCTGAGCATGGACTTGCTAGAACGTAGTACATTTTTGGAAAATATCAGGTTTGAAGTTCTTAAGTCAAAAGATTATTTGTGTAGTCCTTCAACATTTCACTGATCGAAATAAGGAACCACATTCATGTATTTGAAACTCTTTCACAAAGAACTTCCTTACTCATAAAGCGTTACTGCAGTTTATCCTTGGTATAGCAATATTATCAATTTTTCCTTTCTCCTTTTCTTTTATTCTTGTTTAACTTTCTAGTGAAACATTTAGATTTAATTCATAGTATATCTTTAACTGATGATTGCTAAAAATGTCCTTAAAGATCTTCAGTAAGGGAGAGACTGATCCTCTGAATAATTGGTTCCATTGTCAATGATTTTATCTTCAATAGTTTTCTGTTACTATAACTGTAATTTTCCTTCTGTAGCTTAAACCCCCTCCTCAAATCTACCTCAAGGAACAAGTTTCTATTTCTTGGTGATAGTCCTTCAAGAATCTGTACAGCAGTATTTCTCAACCTTGGCAACTTGAAGACGGGTGGATTTTGGCTGGAGAATTCTGGAAGTTGAAGTCCACACATCTTCAAGTTGCCAAGGTTGGAAAACACTGCAGTAGAGCATTAACATATGCACAGTCGCTGTTTTTTCACTAAGCTAAGTATGCCCTGTCCCTTTAATCTTTACTTGTTTCCACATCCTTTGCTATCTGCTTTGAATTCGCTGAACAATAAATGATAAATAATAATTGCAAATGGATCTTAGTAATACTGAAGAATTATAAAATATATATACTATGGATCTTGCTGGAAGCAAATTTAAATATTTCATTACCAGTTGATCTCTGATGGAACAAGTGCTGCTAATTATGACAGGCTACCATTTGTCCTTTCCTTAAAAAAAAAAACATCTACAGTGGGTGATGAGATATTTGAAGGGTCTCTTCCATCATTCTTTAATTAAACTTGTAAACCAAACCTGTTTATGATGTTCAGTGGTGTAAAACTACTCCAAAAAACAGCAGGAATAATGCTTCCATTTTCTAAAATGTCCTGCCATAGATACATTATGCTTATTAAAAATTAAAGGAAGATAGAAGATACTTTTCCCTACTTTTTCAGAGTTAACTTGTAACAATCTTGGGAAAGGGATTGGAACTTTAAAAATTGTAACACAGTTTGCATGCATCTATGAAAAGGAAAAATATCCTCTAACTAATCCCAAAAGAAAAACTGGGTAATGATTTGATAACTGGAACATTGGGAAAGGATTGAAAAGCATTTAGCAAGCTTGTCAGGATGTGAAAGGATTCTTTTTCTCTTGGACTCTGTGAATTTCAATCACCTGAATTTTATTCCATTGGCAAAAACATGTATGTCATGTCTCAAAGTAGGTTGCAGGGTTGGCTGTAAGATGGGCAGCTATATGAATGTTTTAAACCAATCAATTAATAAGGTCAAAATGGCCTCCCAAATGGCAGTGGTTGCAAAAGGACATGTCTAAATGTTGCCTTTTGCTTTTGGGTTGCTGGATCCTAAGGAGCTCTGCTGATTAACATCAGGGGGCTGGTCAATGGCAATCCTGCTGAAGGGGTTTGGCCTGGGCTCAGCTGGTGGCCAATCTATTTTTTCCAAGCATGCCCAACTAAACCTCAAGAGAGTTAGCAATCCTTCTAAAATGTATATACCTACCAGTGAGGCACGCTATGAAGGCTTCAGCATGAACAAGAAAACAAAAGGAAATCAGTATATGTCATTCTGACAAGTTAGCATTTCCACCACCAAACTAGCATCACCATGAGCTCAGGCAACAGTCTTTAACTCCCTCAAATTGTTAAGTACATACTGGAATCAGGGTGTTGATTGTGAAAACAATCTGATTCAGGCAGAAGATGCAGAGATGATATAGTTGTTTTCTACCTACAAAGTATGCACTTTGACTTATTAGTATTAGATTAAATAATATTTTTTCCATGATAGATTTGGCTTGTACTCTGCTCCAGCAGGATTACATTTGTCAAATCATGGTGGAAAAACTGATCAAGTGGTGAGCAGACTGTTCTTTCTGTTCCACATTCTAATATGAATTAACTAGACAATTGTGATAATATATCCATCCCTTCTAAGCCCTATTTCATTATACAGGGCTTTGTCCTCAAATCGTTTTTGTGCTCAGTTGTGACATGCCTGGATTTTCTCTGACATGCATGGGAGAATCCCAATACTGCAAGCAGTTCCAATCTTTCTGTGCTTCTTAGACTGAGTTGCTGTTTTGATAGACTGCAAATTGCTTTATGCTTGCTTGATAAAAAGAGCTTATTAAAAGATTGTGCTTGTGTGTTTATGAATGTGTGCATTAAATCAGAGGAGCATCATTGGAGGAGTGGTCTCCATACCAATGACCTATCTTGTAGGAACTTCTAACAATCCTTTACCTTCTGGACATTTCTTGGTAAAAGTCAGACTTGCTTCATGGTCCCTGCAATAAACTGTATAAGATGGAAAAGCAAGGAGAGTCTGATTTGAACCATGGCAGGCAAGCAAATGATGCCAGCCTTGAATAACTTGGGAAGAGCCCTATAGAGCTACTGTTCATATAGCTGAGGATAAGGACTGAGGAATCCTTGTTTAGATATCAGAACACAGGGGGCAAAATGGTATAGCAAAAAGGATGGAGGATTATGCTCTGGAGTAGGTTGAGGACCAATCCTACCAGTTGCCTTACCTTAATCTTTCCCAATCCAGTACCCTCCAGATATGTTGGGCCTCCACCAAAGCTAAATCCAGAGGACATTAGGTTGGGGAAGGCTGCTTTATCCCTAAGCAAAGCTAAGGAGGAGAAAAACCTGAATACAGTATACAAAAGGATGACCAAGTAAATTTTACAGAAGAAGAAAAATGGATATAATTTTTAGTAATTTTTTTAAGGTAATTGGCTATGGAATGGGCATAGAAGGGCCCCAAAAAATATATCCAAATCCTTATTGATTATGGACCTTTATAATGAGTTATTCTGCTGAATGAGAAGAGTTTAAAGTCCAGAGGATCATTTAGATCAAGAACTTTTAGAACTGGTTATCTTTTTCTCCATTTTCAAGACTATTTTTAAAAACTTTGTATGTTTTAGGGTTCATCATGCCCCTTTTCTTGCTTTTCTTAAGATAATCCAAAATATATGGGACAGAGGTGGGGAGATGCTGAGGAAAGGACAGATGTTTTCCTAGCTTGGCCACATAGGAATGAGTGGGGGAGCAAACCATCAGAGAAGCTGCCTTCCTACACTGTTTGACAATGACTTCCCAAGAAGAAAAAAGGCATCTGAAGGCTTATTTTGTTATAAACATTCCTGAAAGTTGCATCAGAGTCAGATCTAACCAATGGAGTCACTTCAAAACAGTGTTATTCTAGTCATACACTGATATTTATCTTATTCTTCTGTTTTTTAATTTCTTTTAATGTTCCATGAAGTGATGTCCTAGGAAGTCTAGCCCAACTTGGAACCTCATCAGGAGCCACCATTTTAAATACAAATAACTGTTTGTGGCAAACTGAAAAATGTATACAGTCAGTCCTCATTTAGCAACTACCTTGTTTAACAGCCATCTGCAGTTATGATGGTGACAAAAAAGTAACTTTATGACCAATCCTCACATTTACAACCTTCCCAGTCTGTAGAACAAAGGAAAGCAGAAGTAACATATTCATGATTTCATTTAATGACCACTTCAGTTGTTGTTGCCAATTGTGGTCACTAAACAAGGACTACCTGTATTGTAATTCATTATCAATCCCTGTCTAGGTGATATCTTAGGGTTATTAAGGTTGTTAAGGTTATTCTTGCTTCTCTTGAAACTGATGCTTTGGTGTAAATAGAAAACTTTGTTCCTGAATTGTGTATACAAAGTTGTGATTACTACTGTATATTTGGAATTATCTTTTTCACAGTTTCTGCAAAGTCAGTAACTACTAAATCAGTACATAAGTACAATGATGAGGATTCTATGGATAGTCCTTATTTAAAGATTCTTTAATGGGGATCATTAAATGACTTATTTTTAATCAGCCATATTAAAAATCATACTTAAACCACACAGAGAAAATCAAATCAGCTGACATAATTATACCATTTATGAAAACAAACACAAGATCGAAGAGCTGAAAACACACAGAAATGCATTCTAACAATATAACAATATTTTTAAAAAAAGAAAGAAAGAAAAAACACGGGGAAAAAGAAAAGCATGGTTTTGTAGCTATTTAAAAAAAATACAATGAAAATTGTACAGAGCCACCAAAAAGAGACAAGCGTAAGGAGAGAGAAAGAAGGAGAGAAAGAATGAAAGAGAGATACAGAGAGAGAGAGAAATAGAAAGACAGAAAAATAACATTTAATCAAACTACGGTGCTTTTCAACAGGCTGATCTGTAGAAGTGAACGTGCGGAGGGAGAAAAATACCTACCTTCTGTTTGATCAGGAATGCAATAATAAAAAAAGAAACAATAATCTCCACATTTGGAGGGCAGAATGGGAAAAAGACAATGACTCTTTAGTAATGCACTTCAGACCCCTTTGCTTTGCTCTGAGTTTTCTTTTGACTCAGCTTTTCTTTTTTTTTCTTACTTTTTTTTGATCCATCAAGGTAAACATATTTTTTGCTATCTATATACTGGCATATTTACTAATTGTCTAAATAGCACAGCCATTGGGAAATAAAATTTTAAAAAGTTACTATGTAACATTTAAAAATTTTAAAGGAAAAAAAAAGTCCCAACAGCATGCAAGAAAAGCAGCAGATGAAAGCAGAAAATGTCAAGATTTAAAGTTTTCTTTGTAATGGGGAATAGGCCAAAAGTGACCTCCTTCAAAAGATGGAGGCATTATATAAGGTGACCATGAGGGAAAGATATAACAGTGGAGGGAGGGAGAAATGGGAGGGCAGTGTATGAACTGAAAGAAAGAGCTATAAAAGAGGCCCACTAGTGTGAAAAGTTGACATAAACATTGAAAGACTCTCTTTAAAAGGGAAGTCAATGTCTTTTTGAGTTTAATAGAGTTTTAATCCTATATCTACCTCTCAAGTTGTTTTAATTGGTTTTCCAAAGAGAATTGCATGATTTGGGGATAGGTAAGCAGCAATACTGCTGGTTTTATCAGCCATAAGTTGAAACTGTATCAAAAATATCAGCTCAGAGAAGATGGTATTCTACCAAGGATGGATAAAGAATGGCACTTGTGTCATAATACAGGGCTGCAGTAGGTTTCCTCAACTACCTCCACCCTTTTCCACTTATGGTTACAGTTCTCCCCAACTCCTATTCTCCTGTAGCTGGTGTTTGGAGACATACCGAATGTGGAGGTAGTCACTCAGGGCACAGGCAGCTTGCAATCTTTAATGATGTGTTGTGGGCTATATTTTATAAAGTGGGTGGAGTCAGAATAAAGAAAGCGCTGGGCAGAACAAAAACTAGTTTTGAATTTGCTTAGTGTTACCTTAATAAACATTAAATTCAACATGGTTAATATGATTGTTTGGAATATCAAAGTATGCCTCTCTGGTTTAGAGGCAAAAGAATTCTTAATTTCTATATCTCTAAAAGCAAGAGATCAGGATAGGGAATTTTATAATTAGCCCAATGATCAGGTAAAGGAAGGTAATTCAGATTCTGAATTTTCCTGATAATTTTATTGGAATATATTTGGATTCAAAAGTTTTTGATTTTATTGTAACTTTTTCAAATCTGCCTTTTATCTTAAAAGAATCACTGGAACAGCTTAACAGATCTTTCCATTTGGCAAAAGCTAAAATTTAAGTAAAGTTTAATTGAACATATTTTTTTTAACAATGTATGTAATTGTCTTCCCTTTTAAACATGAAATCTAAGAGACCAAAATGTTTAAGAGTCATAAATAAGTATAGAAAGATATCTGTGCATTTCTTAATTGGCTGGAGGGTTCTACAGTAACACATATACATGTGTACACACACGCATATATATATTTCTAGATTCATATAGATAGCGCTCTCTCTCTCTCTCTCTCTCTCTCTCTCTCTCTCTCTCTCTCTCTCTCTGTGTGTGTGTGTGTGTGTGTGTATAAGCTTTATAATACCACATTTCAAACTGGGGGCTAAAGCAGTTTCAGATTAAAAATAAAAATAAAGACTTTTAGAAATTAATTGGCCATTGATGTTAACAAGATGAAAATATGAAGTAGGACAATAAGGGCTTTTTTTTGGAATCTTTAAAACTGGTTATTTTTTTTTAAATCTCTTTTAAATCAACATTTTCCAAACTTCAGAGATGTGAAACATATTAACTGATTACATATTAGGATTTGAGCCAGTTTCGCTAACTTGGATTCATCCAGATATTATTGGTTATTTCTTCTGAAATTAAGCCATTATCTTGGATCTCTGCATTAATAGGGAGCTGACATTGGTGAAAAAAAATCATTTGGTCCAATGAAACTGATGCTGTAATAGCAATTCAGGCAGATAGTAAAATCAGGTGGCCTCTGCTGAGGTTTCCAAAGCCCATTTTGTTCTCTAATTGAAATGAGTAATGGAATAAATACAACTATGTGTTCTTATGTGTACATGCATGCATGTTTTGTACATGGAAAGAAGAAAAATAAAAATGATAAGAATAACAACAAGCAAATGTGTCAGAAAGTGGATGTGATATATCTGAGACACAAAATAGAGGTAAGGCTTATGACCAAGAAAAAAGAATGGGTAAGCTAAGCAGAAATAGAGAGCCCTATTTAATTCTCTGTGAAGATGACTTGCAGGGGCTTGCTTTAATAAACCATAAACAATTGGGAAGATCAGGGGCTGATTCCATGCTGGAACATGATGAACCAGCGGTTGTGATCAGCTCAAAACCTGAATACCCCTCAGCCAGAAATGAGATCTCAGTATATATGGCTCAGTACAGCTAAATGCCTCTTGGAGAGACAGCTAGCAGAAAATTGTCTAATGCTTGATTCTGTCCTTAAGGTCAGAGTCTCAGCTTCTAATAGAGCAGTAGTGTCATCTAATGCAACAATCTCATTAGCCAGGGTTGGGTCGAAACAAGTTGTAAGTAGAAGTTTGACAATGAATAGGGTGCATTTCATCTGAAATCATTTGAGCTAAGACATCTGAGGGGACGTGTATATTCACCTTGATTTGTAAAACATCTGAGGTTAATTGAGCTAAGACTTCTTTCTATCATTCTGAAAATGTAATGGCCTTTCCTTCCATCTCGATGGTGCCTGAAATTTTACTGCCAGTAAAATTTACTTAAACGCTGGATTACTTCAGTAATCAATCACTCATTGAGTGAAACTCATTGGATGATTCTGGGCCTGTTATTACCTCTCAATCTAATTTATATCAAAATCTTTCTAAGACTATAATATGTTTGCATATATGCGAACTATGTCTTCTGTCATAAGATTCTTAGGGGAACGCAAATAGCTGGGAATCTGTTGGGAATCCTTTACCACTGGTCATATTGGGTAGAGGTGGTGGATTGGAATTCAACAACAGCTGAAAGACTACAGATTTCCTATTCCTGCTACAGATTATTTTCTTTTCTCCAAGAATGATAGATAAGTTACAATATAAGTAATGAACAATCAGCAATGCTACTAATACTTAGAGACAAAAAGTAGTCTGTCAAACAAGATCATTATATTTATTAGTATTATTTTAAGTGATTTGTATATCCTCTTTCCATTACATATTTCCAATTGTTGAGGAATTTTAAAAAATAAAGCATAACTGAAAAACCTGTAGTTTCCTGTAACTATCTTTTGCAAAGTCAGTTTTCAAAGTTTTCAGATCACTTATGAAATATTTGGACCAGAGGCAACCATGAAGATGAAAAAAGAGTGGATACTACTTGACTAGCAATGGTTCTATAATGGTCTTTTGAATTTTTTGATCTGGGAGAAGAGCAAATTTATCATTTATTTCCAACCATGTTGGGTTGGGTTTAGATAATATTCTTATGACAGGGTAGGAGAAGGAGTGGCAGAACCTGGAGGTGGAATTAAAAGAGAGATCAGCCTAGAATCCTTATATAGGCACAAATGAATTAAGTCCAACCTCTTTTGAATTCCATTGACCTGAGAAGATTAATGTGAGGGGCAAAAGAGTAGGTCCACTTCTGCTGGTTAATGACTGCAATGAAGTTATTTGAATTTGAGATTAAGTCCATTCATGAAGGTCCAATTAAACTAATTTATTGCTAATCACACTAATGCACAATAATCTTTTTAGTTAATGGTTAACATCTGCTTGGGGTTAGCTAAGAGTCAATGGAATTCAAGGGAGGTTGGGCTTAGTTCACTTGTGCCTGTGTAGGGATTCTAGGCTTATCCTTCTTTTAACCCTCCTCCCCCCTAGCCAGGTTCTGCCACTCTTTTTCGTTCAGAAAAGTCCACCAACAAGCAAGCAATTTTCCCAGGAAGCTATAGGTGAAAGCGTCATGGAGAGATCTTCCTTTCATTGACTATTTAGAAAGAAGGATATATGATCAAGAATGAATCATCTTCCTATTTACAGTACAGATAATCTTGCGCCTTATTTTTTTCCCCAGTGACAATTCTTTAGTTTTTAATTTATTATTATTACTATTAAAATGTCTCAATAGTGACAGGAACCACTGCCCTCTCACTAGATTAACATAAAACCCAGCATCTTTGGCTATGTTTGACAGCAAAAAAAAAACAAAAAAACAAAAAACAAGCCAACGTGGACAATACTTTCAAAATAGGAAGATGCCTTATACAGTTCATCGAATTCAGCATTATTTGTCCTAAATGGACTTTCTTTCTCCTGCTACCTTCCAAAGATGATGAATGACAACTCCCTGTTTTTGGCCACTTAGCCATGGAATTTTATGAGTTGTAATTCAATACATTTAGAGGTTACAGAAGGATAATCTGTGGTGGCTGGGGAATTCTAGGAATTGAAATCCACAAGTGGCCAAGTTTGAGAAACACAGATATATACTTAGTGGCTTTTGAGGGGTTTAAGCAGTTACAGACTGTCTTTGGGGATCTTCCGTAAACAAAGAATATGCTCTGTCCCACTGATTTAAGGAATGTTCCTATCCTCAAAGGGGCTTGTGGATAAAAGTTAACAATCTCTGCAGTTGCCAGAAATCATGAACAGGCCATGAAAGAAGGTGATAAAGGTGTGTGTGCATTTTGTTTGTGTATTTGTGTGCAAGAGAGAAAGAAAGAGAAAAAGAGAAATGAGATTTAGAATGTTTTGCACTTACAACACCCCAGCTTTTTGAACTGAAAAGATTTGCCAGCAAATTTTCCCCCTCATTCCTAATCTTAACTGAAAACCTGAGAAACAGCTCATTTCTCCCCACGGTTTCATTTTTTGCCCCTTCATAGTGCACAGGTATATGAAGTTGCTTGGACTTAGATTGCTGGATTGTAATTGTCATAGCAGAATAATGGTTATGGGGAATCTCACTCTGAATCAACGGAGCCTTTGCCATCCATCATATCCTGAGCAAAGTGTCCAAAAGAGAGCAAGGGAGAAGTGAAAGGAGGGGACAAGGCTGCTTTGGAAAGGAGGAATAGGAGAGGCACAAATCATGGTAAAAACAAAAGCATCCATACCTCCTGTTTCTTCTCCGACAGGGTGCCATGGCTATGGCGGCCATTCTGGGCACTGCCCTTGTGCCCATTTTGGTGAGGCGTGGCTGATCGGCTGTGGCCAGTGCAAGATGAGGATGGGCTGTGGCTGGATCTGTGGCTGCTGGCCCTTTGACCGTCTTCTCTGTATTTGGGGCTCAGTCTGTGGACAAAAGGGAAGGCAGAGGAACCGTCTAACCTTGTAAGTCATACTGAAGGCAGATAGCAGAGAGAAGGTTGCTGTTTATGACAACAGGTCAGAGATGCAAAATGTGACTTTCCTTTTCCCCCTGAACACATATGTGTGAGGGGAGGGGAGGGGTATGAGAGTTTGAGATTTTAAAAATATGAATTGTATTAATCTTATTTTGTGATTTATTCTTTTTATATATTACCTTTCTCAGCCTGATGGAAAGCCATGTTGCTTTGATGCTCTGATTAAATCAGTTACAAGCCACCCACAGATTGCAAAATGAAAAAAAAAGAATATTTGGAGGGGTTTGCATGCAGCCTGGGTGTTCTATTGCCTACCCCTGAATCAGAGGAAGTCTACTTGTGGAAAAGCTATACAGAAAATGGAACCTTATTGTCCTTACCAGTGGTATATAAGACCACTTTCCCCAGTCTAATGTCTTCCTCATATGGGAATTACTGCATTAGGTATTATCTTCAAACAGCCATATTTACAAGATTTGAATCCAGTGCTCTCTCCTATTTGCTGACAACTTCTTACCAAGTAATGTTAATACTACAGCTCAGTATCCTTAACTGAACAGCAGCCATATTTTAATTCAATGTTGCAAAACAGTTTGTGTCAAATTTCATTTCCAGTCTTTTAGAGATGTGTGTGCTTATACAGATTTAGTTAAAGTTAGGAAGGATTTTCAGGGGCTGCCTTGAATAGAATAAACTCTATTCAGTTGCATTCCTCTTTCATGCTCCAGCCCTTTAGAAGAACTTGGAAAAAAAAAAAACACCTGGCTCATCAAGCAGACTCTGGACCATAGCAATTTGTGAACCTATTGGAATATTAAGGGTTTTTTTTAATTTCCCACTACTATTTTTAGTTTTTATTGTGCATCACCTTGAATTACTTGAGGATTAGGCGGCCTTAGAAATTGACTAAATGAAATCATAAATAATATTGCATCTCCACTAAAAATGTGCCAGATCAGGCTTAACCACAGCTTACCTGCCTGTGGATTTGCAGTCACTGTATTCCGAGGAAAGGGAAGGGCTCCGAGAACTACAGCTGCTACGTCTGTGGGAGCGACGAGGAGATAGTTCACTGTGAGATCTGTAAGAAGGCAGTAAGAAGCAGAAGCATAAGAAAGCTAAGCAGAAAACAGTGATGGGATATTCTCTCATGGGATGAGCAAGGTTACACTCGAAATTATGGATTGTTCTGCCCCTCAAGTGCTGCTGGCTAACTCTCTGGTTTTCACTGCAGTGGTGGGAAAGGAGGAAGGGAAGAAAAGAAGAGTTTGACCAACTGCAAGGTTACTGGACTCAGTTACAATGCTGATGGGTGCAAAGACTCGAATGACCACGTTAAGGATAGATTGTCATCGATAACATCCAGTTATGTTGTGTTAGGAGTCAAAAACAGTTTGATTGCACATAATCAACCAACAAATCAATCAATCAATCAATCAAACCTGCCCTGTCAAGTTCTGCTGTTGAACTTGTTGTCTTATTGCAGGGAAAGGCAAGCTGTTTAAAATTGGATGCCACTGGGCAATCTCATTTTATGGTCAAAATATTGCAAGAGTTCTTAGCACTCTCACCCTAAAATTTCATATGAACTTATAGGAATGTGCTGGGATACTAGGAGATTTGGCAGGTGGGCAAGATTCAGATCATTTTTAATTTTTTTTTTGTCCTTATTCATTTCAATCTGGGGATTCTCTGGATGTTAGCTGGGGTGCTCCAATTCCTATCAACTTGCTTTCACAGACATTTTATTGGAAAATATTGAAATGCTTGTAATGAAATTCTTATGAAAATATGGATATTTAAATGTTGGAAAAGAAAAGGAGGTACAAAGAAAACACAATATTCAACAGCAAAACCTACAAAGACATTGGACTTTTGTTCAGAGGCTTCTGAACAACAACAGAGGGGAAAAAAAATTCAGAATCAGATTCTCTTCAAGGTCCTCAGCCAACAAGAAGGCAGGAGGGGCAATAGCCTGAGCCTCCTTATGACAGTGTTCCAAACCTAGATTTGAAAATTTACTTTTTTCAAAAGAACTTTCATATATATATGCAATTTCACCTTTACTTCTTCTAGAGACTTTGCTGCACTATCAGTGATGCTTCTTGTCACTCTTAGAAGCTACATATACAAACATACAGACACACGCGCACACACACACACACACACACACACACACAGACGTGAGTAGCATTTCAGAGGAAAGAATGTCTTTCTTTAAAGCTGCATCATTTAAACTCCCATGGCATTTTTCTGCTTGTGCAGTTGGCAGCAAATAGCATCTCATCCTATGAGAATCTCTTGCAACCTCAGTGGCTATTCTCTAAGGCAGTCATTCAACCTCAGCAACTTTAAGATGTCTGGATTTCACCTCCCAAAATTCTCTGGGGCTGAAGGCCCAGTTTCTTCAAGCTCCACTGAGTACAGTGACCTCAGAGCAGAACGTTTTAAGACGCTCATTTTCCTGCAGATTTCAGAGTTCCTCCTGAAACTTTTGCATCTTTCCCCCTTATTAGTAATGAAGGAAACTCAATTAGGAAAAATAGCTTGAGGTAACTGAGAAATAAAGGGTTTTTTTTCTTGGACTGAATGTGTTTCCCCATCCAGACCCAGTAAAATTATCATTCAAAAAGAATCTCAGTACTTCTGTGTGCAAATGCACAGACTGGTCGTAAAGTTATTTTTTCATCACCCTAATAACTATGAACAGTTGTTAAAACAAGGCAGTCATTAAATGACGAGTACCTATAAAACCAGTGAGGTGATGTGGAGGTGGCTGTTGGTTACCAAATTAAACCATTCTCTGGGTTTGCAGAATCCAATGAACCATGAATTAACCAAACTTGCTGAGTTCACACAGTAAGCGATGTTACACAAAAGAAACCTAACCAAAATGTGCAACTGACATGATCAAGAGTCTTTCAAGAACCCAGTCTGAGTCTATTTTGAAAATGATTGTTTAGATACAGCCTGTTATATTGTAAACAAGATTTTTGTAAGTTACTGCCCTTACCTTACAGAACATCTTCCCCCAAGCAATTCGGCAGGCCTCCACCCTTTTAGCCTTTGGCATTTTATCCAGACCTGGCTCTTTACCCAGGCGCTGGGATAGAATAGAATAAATAGAATGAAATGTTGGAGCTGGCTGTACAGCTTTCCAAAGGAATGATTAGAGCACCAGGGTTTTGTTTTATTTTATGGCTGTGTTTTATAGTTATTGGGTTTTACTGCTGTTGTGAGCCGCCTGGACTTGTTTAACATGAGCAGGCATACAAATCTTTTAAATAAGAGCTCTCTACCTGCTTCCCAGGTTGTAAATCTAAAATTATTTCTGATATTTATAGGTTTCTACTGTAAATCAAGGGAGAAAAGGCAAGCATTCACTAGACACAGGATCAAAAGGCAATGTTAAGGCCCAAGAAGTCATTCATTGCCTATTCTGAATTAAAAACTTTCCCACAGGGGTGGGTGGTGGGTGGGGATTAAATCAGATTCAGCAAAATGTTCAGAATGATCTCTCTATTCCCAACTCAATTTTAATTCCCTTCAGCTCCACAAATTTATCAACAGTTTTTATCTCAGTTACTCAGAAGTATTACTTTAATCAGGGATAAGGCAACCTGGAGCTCATGTTGGTGCTTTTCAAGACTTCTGCTCTATTTGATCTTTTAAAAGAGAAATGGAGAATTATTGTTGCAGATAATCCAGCTTTTCCCAACTTGCTTATTGCAAATGTATTAGGACCGTAATTCCCAATTTTTGTGGATATTTGTTGTTTTCTGTTTATACTTTTAAATTGTTTTTAACATTATTTTAACTCTCCAGAGATGCAACAAACATAGGCAACCTTATACGTTTGATAAATTAATAATCCCATGCTGGCAAATGATTTCTGAAGGATGCTAGGTTAGGAAGGGCTGATGGTTTTATCAGTAACTTGACAACTGCCTGGACAAGTTCCTGCAGGTTTTTTTTTAGCAAGGTTTTCAGAGGTTGTTTGCTTTCTTCTTCCTAGGGCTGAGAGAGAGTAAGTGACTGGTCCAAGGTCACCCAGTTGGCTTTGTGCCTAAGGCAGGACTAAAGCTCATAGTTTCTAGCCTGATGTCATAACCACTACCTTAAGCTGGCTCTCCTATAGTTAATGTAAACAGTCAACAGGCATTACCTTGCAGTCAATCTATGATGAATTTAGGCCTGGCCAACAAAGCAAATGCCCCAGATTAATTACCCGCCCCTCCCCAATGTAAAATCAAGTGACAGAATTTATTCCACCTTCTGATGAATTCCTCCATCTCAGATCTACTTCATAGATCACTGCCAGTGGGATGTAACACATATCACTGGTAGATTCTCTGCCAACATTAGAAAGATGTTTTCTAAAGCAACAGTTTGAAGCAGAGACTGAAATGCTTAGGAGACTTTTCAGCCATTTCTTGCCCTGCTCCATGTATTGATCTCACTCCCTTTTGTGATCTGGCAACTTCCATTAAGCTCTATTCCAGTATCAAAATCAGCACTGCGACATCTGCTAATGCTACATACTTGGAAACAACACAAGCAACAACCTAACAGGAAGAAAAATAAATTACCGATGAATCAAAATTGTTTAAATCAGAGGTTTATAGAAACATTAAAATTATATGATTTTAAAGGATCTTAAAAGAAGTATTTTCCTCCTTCCTGATATATAGGAAAGAGCGCTCCTCTTGAATGAAGGATTCCCCCTACATTGGAGAAAATGCTTCTTCTCAAGTGTGACATTTCCACTTCCTTCTTTTTTTTTCCACAGGAAGGAATGTTTTTTATTAAGTGAGAAAAAGATAGCAGCTTTATATCATACTTATCACCCAGATGAATTTTGTAGACTCTAACATCCTAACCTACCTGCTCTCTAGCTCCAGAAATTCATAAGCATTGCAGACTGACAATTGAAACCTCACCTTTTTCTATCTTTGTTTTTTTCTTTCCTTTTGCTCTTGGGACTTCTGGACCTATAAGATAGCAGAAAACTAAATATTCAGGTCAAAAAGAAAGGAGCAAAAGGGAGCACAGGTAAGTAAAATAAACAGAAGGAGCAGCCATGTGGTCAGGCCTATTGAATAATTTAGAGATAGTATCATCCCCTGATATCTTTTTTCCTCATTTATCAAATGTCTCCCCTCCCCTAGCTTATTTTTATCCTAAATCTCAACCTTTATGAAACTACACTTCTCATTGCTCTGCATATGCAGACCTTTTATGTTGCTGAAATGAATGGGGATGTGGGGACTGTCAAGGAAGGCTGTGTGGGCATAATATGTGACATGCAATTCTTCTATTATGGTTAGGTTGCTGTGGAACTACTATTATGGATTTTTTATTGGGATATCAAGATCAGATTTCTTGACCAGTTCCTATCACATCACCTGAAGATGCCTTTCTGCCAAGTGAAGTATTTTCTCATTGCTACCAAGCTTTTGAATTTTTCACTAAGATGGTAGGTGACCTACAACCAGTGGTGTGCTAGCACTGGCTTGTAACTGCTCAGGAGAGCCAATTATTAAATTTTGGGACATTTTGCAAGCTGGCTGAAAGTAGAATTGAGTTATGACATCTAGTGAACCATAGCATAGTCACAGATATAGAGCTGGCAGAACTGGTTGTTATACAGTTATCAGCACACCACTGCTTATAGCTCTAATGCAATATTTGCTATAGTTCCTAGCCCATTTCAAAGCAATCTATATGGATATGCCAGGCTATTTTAAGCCCTCACAGGAAAAATGGTTAAATAATGTTCAAATAATTATGTTTAAATATTGTCCTCAAATTGCAAGCAATTTATTGTCTATCTTGCTAATTATAAATCAGGCAGTAGCATCTACTTGACCTTGACTAAATTCAAAAGCTAAACAGGATTAGAGCTGGTTACCACTTGAACAGAAGACCAGCAAAAAACTGGAAAAATCTCCCAGAGGAAGGCACCAACCAATCTCTCTGGTGTTATTGCCAAGAATACATGGTTTTTCCATGTAATCACCAGGAACAGTCTTGATTAGGGCCAGAATTAACATCTATGGGCAAAGAAAGGAAAGGGATGCTAGCCCTGGAGTGAGAAGCAGTGAAAACCAGAAGGGAGAGAAAGCTATACCGTTCGCCCTCACCTGTGCCTCCTCTTCTTATGAGATCCAGATCCAGACCTGATGGGCAACCAACCAGAGGAAAACAAAGGGAAAGGAAAGGGAGAGGGACACATTGTTTGAAACAGAGGATTAACAGCACCACCAAATATTAACTGGAATGTTTAAAATCTTTTTTCTCTATATGGTATTCCATCATAAGACAATATTGTTATGACAAAAATGGAATCCAAGGTAGAGACTGTGTAAGTGTGGCAACATTGACTCTTAATGACTGAATTTTTTACAGGAAGCTTTAGCCTTCACTCAGAAGGGTGTATCATTTAATTGTGTTATGTAACTATTTCTCTCTGTGTGTTTGTCTGTGTGTGGGGGGATGAGTGTGTGTGTGGGGGGGGAGAGAGAGAGACAAAGAGAGAGGAAGGAAGGAAGGAAGGAAGGAAGGAAGGAAGGAAGGAAGGAAGGAAGGAAGGAAGGAAGGAAGGAAGGAAGGAAGGAAATTGCACACACTATCTCATGCCAAATGACCTGTTTTTCATTGACCAAAATCTAATAAACTGAAATTCAATCAGTGGCCAAAATCTCAAAAGATCCTATTAAAATAGACACACATCTTGCAAGCTTTGGCTATCTTGTAATGTTTTACTCTTTTTCCCTTATACTGTGAAATAACTATATATTTTTTTTACATAGGGTGGTCATTTGTCTATGGAGATTCTCATTCATTCAGGCCATGGTTGTCCCATGGTTGTCCTTTTCAAAAGGCAACTGGACTTTGGTTTTTTTTCCCCTTGAAGACGTTCTGCTTCTTATCCAAGAAGCTTCTTCAGTTCTGAAGAAGCTTTTAAAGAACTTCTTGGATGAGAAGTGAAACGTCTTCAAAACAAAAAAACCCACCCCAAAGTCCAGTTGCCTTTTGAAAAACCACTTTTGGGAGAGTGGTCATTTGTTTCCTTAATATTATCAGCCCTTCAATCTATTCCTGCCTTCCCTAATCTAGTGTTTTCTGGGTAACTTACTGCATCTTCTAGAGCAATGTTTCTCAATCTTGAAAATTTTAAGGCATGTGGACTTCAACTCCCAGAATTCCACAGCCAGCAATGCTGGCTGTGGAATTCTGGGAGTTGAAGTCCACATGCCTTAAAATTGTCAAGGTTGAGAAACACTGTTCTAGAGATACTTTCCCAAACTGTTAGGAAGGCTCCCATCAGGAACTTATCTGAGTTTTTGGTATCAGTGGCTCCTTTAGCTGTTTTAGCTGTCGGGAGGCTGAATCAGTATCTTCTTAGTGGATTTGCTCCAGCATTGAGTTACAGCATTTCTTCAAAACAGGGATACATCATTTCTTCCAATAAATCCTTCATGTATTTTTCTAAACTCAACATTGTATAAAATTTCTTGTGTATAGTTTAATTGTGTATAAGTGTCCATGTATGTGTGTATACACACACATACACACAACACATAAGCACAGAGTCATTCTCCAAATCCCATCGCAGTTCAATATGACCAAGAAACCAAATCCAAAGTGTGACTATTAGAAAGGGAATGTTTTGACAATCTGGACTGAAACCCAAGCTTTATGAATGCCATAAAAGCATTGAAAAGAATAAAAGCATTTTAAAAAACATGAAAGTATAAAAACATGTTATAGCTGGTCCTTGGCTTATGACCATACATTTAGTGGTCAAGATTATGACGGCACTGAAGAAAGTGGTCAAGATTAAGATGGCACTTATGACCATCACAGTGTCCTCACAGTCACATGATTGTGATTTGGGCGCTTGGCAACCAATATGCATTTATGACAACTGCAGCATCTTAAAGTCACATGATCTCTGTGATCTTTTTAGCCAGCTTCCAACAAGCAAAGTCAAGGGAGGAAGTGGTAAAAAAAAAGTTTGTAAAATCAGGTGTGGTCACATGATAACCCAATGACCACATGGCTTAGTGACAGAAGTTCCAGTCCCAATTGTGGTCATAAGTCAAGGACTACCTGCACCATAATTTGAATGGGAGTGAATTTTGTTTTTTTTTACTGCCATCTGTGGTAGCCAAAGATCAGAAGTCCTTTTATTTTCACATTAACAAATTTCATTTAAAGGCATAAATTTTCATGATTTACAGCACAATGCATCAGATGCACAGAGTGGCTAAACTCAGTGGTGGGATTCAAATATGCGAATAACCAGTTCTCTGTGTGGATACCACTTCTGGAAGTCCCTTCTGGGCCTGGGCAACAAAAAAATTAGCTACCGGTTCTGCCAAAGTGATGCGAACCAGCTGGATCCCACCACTGGCTAAACTGCTGTAGATTTTATGCTGGGTTGAGGGAGGAAGGAGAAGACAGGCCTGTTGTACAGATACAGGTTACACATTAGATAGTCAAGTTACCAATATATGATAAATTCATCTGGCTTTTTAAAGTTTAGGAAAGAAGACAAAAACTTTCTCTGTAATATTTATAAAGTACAAACAATTCTATCTATATCCTAGTCTGACAAAGTTCTTTGAAAACAAGAAGAATGCTTGCTAATTTGGCTAAACTGGAAATCTGTTCTCAAAAACACACAATGTAAATGGGATGGATTTGTTTTGGCCGCTTAATCCCTAATGGTGTCAACTCTGGAGTAACTGGATACACTGATCTGTCTAGCGCAGAGTTTCTTAATATCAGCAACTTTCCTATGTTTGGATTTCAACTTGCAGACTTCCCCAGCCAGCTGAGAAATTCTGGGAATTGAAGTCCACACTCAAAATGGCTGACATTAAAAAGTAATGACTGGCATTAAAAATTCCAGGCTAGCCAATGTTTCCTTTGCTATCCTCAATCTTGGTTGGAGAAAAAACTGTATGTGTTGACTATGTTCCTTTTCACTGAAAATACATGAGAATAGGCTTAGCCAGATTACCTGTCTCTCCTGTGTTTTTTTCCACTTTTCTTCTTCTTCTCCTTCCGAACTGGGGAAGAACTACCCCCACTGTAAGTAATAACATGTATCAGATGTTAGTTAGTAAAAGGTAGGAAGGAAGAAACGCAGGCAGGGGCTGATTAAGTCTTATGTAACCCCAATATCCTGAGTGGGTGGAAAAGCTGGAGTTTTGGAAAATCAGAAAATGCAGGGAAAGACCCACTCTCTTTTTCAGTCTGTGTCTCATGTATGTGTTGCATTCATTGCATCAGTATTGGATTTTTTGTAAGTTCTGAGCAGGATTTCTCAACTGTGAACTTCATTTCCCAGAAATCCCCCGCCAGGTTGGTTCTGAGTACAAAGAATAAGAAGCATGTTCTATAAAGTGCTTCCTCTCTTTTAAGAATATATTTTGGTATTATACCTGCCAGAATGCCCAGTCATCATGGGAGTTTCAGTTCCAAGGCAGCAAGAAGGGCATCAGGTTGGAGTACATGAATGATCATACACGCATGAATACACACAATAACAGAACCTCATAGATGTACACCTATATAATCCCATGCAAGGGGGTTTCTTAATAAATCCCAGCTATGGATATCTGATCTGAGCTACAAAATTCTGCATCAGTGGAGTCTGGGTTGGTGGATTATTGAAAAGGCAAGATGGCAGAGTGTCACAATGCAAGTCCTACCTCTTCTGTATATGCAGATGTACATGCAAAATAGACAGGCCTTGTATTGCCATGCATCTTCTGCCGTTTCACTTTTTTAGACACACACATGCCACCATGGCCCTGGACAACCATTAGGTCACTGATGGCGAACCTATGTGTATCAAAGGTGACATGCCATGACATTTTTAGAGACACATGAGTGTTCATCCACACCCAACAACTATTCTCAAAAACACACTATGTTCTTGTGTGCTTTTCAGAGACTGCGGAGACCTCGGGAGAATGGGGTGTGCTCTTGCATAGCCTATGGGCCCTCTGGAAGTCACACAAAACGGCCATATTTTTGTATGGCCTTCAGACCCTCCAGAAATCATGTGAGAACAGGGTGTGCTCTCAGATGGTTTGGGGAAGCTGCAGAGCCTGTGAAAGAGCATTCTCTAATGCTGAAGGTATCACATGACTCAGGGTAGCTTCATATAGGCTAGCAAAGAACTACAACCATAACTCCTTGCTGACACCTAGTGGCCATCTGAAATTGTGCAATCCAGATCTGTTAAATCTATTCCCATCTCTATGGTATGACTATTAAAATTTCCTTCCAGAATTTTAGGATAGCGCCATTACCTTAAGCATGTAATTTTGAATATATCTGTATTGTTGGCTAGATATCATCTCTGGATACTTAATGCTTTTGCAACTGCCATTAGCAATTGGAAAATTTCACCATTCAAAGGATTTGGGGGAAGGGGAAAAAGGTAGGCGGGAGAAGATTTATTTAAACTAAGATTCCAGTCCTAGTTCTACCTGGATACCTAATCTGTAAGGGAAAATAACATATAAGAACTCTTTTGTAAGCATCTCATTAAAGGTCATGCACTTCTAGGAAATGCTTTCCCCATTCAAGAGGAATAGGATTTGCACTTTCCTCTGAAAGTGTTCTGGTTTTTGCAAAAGATAAATAAATAGCTTCACAAAAGTTGAGAGCCAGTGTATAGTCATATGTAGGTATGTTTTCCACAGGGACAAGAAAATTAAAGGTTACAAATTATAGGATATCAATTTAAACCAAAGGGCCAGATTAATCAGTAAAAGATTTCTCAGTTAGTTTTAAAACCTCTGAAAGAGCCAGGAGCAAAGAATTTTGGACAAGATTTTCACATCCAGGATTCAGATTGCTGGGGAAAAAAGCATAACATCAATTCTGTAGTCCTCCCCCCCCCAAAAAAAAACCCCGGAGACTCACCTACGCTCTGATCCAGGTTTCCTTTTTTTGCTGAGGTTGCAAAACAGAAACAGACAAAGCACACATTAAGGAAAATCTCTTCAAAAAGAGAATTTGGGAAAGGGGCCAGCTTCTAAAATTGAGTTTATCATAAGAGAGGAATTTCTCTTTCTCTCACCATCCCCACAGGTTCTATTTATAAACTTTCTGCATGTTCTGTCATCCTGCATGAGCTCTGAATAAACCCATGAAGCAACATCCCCAACTTTCTGGGTTGGGGGCCTGGCTTAGGGGGAGGGGGGATGGTTTTGTGCAAGGGACAGGTGTGTGCACCAACCTCCACTGCTCACGTGAGTCAGGCTGTGCACATGGACCTGCTGGCCCGCCATTCACACAGCTCAGTTGCAAATAGGCCATAGCCCAATAGTGGACTGTAGCCCACAGGTTGGGGACCCCCGATCTAAAAAAATCTCAGATTTCCTGAAGAAGTTATTAGTTCACATTGAGGTGAAAAAAAAAATAGGTTTCAGAAACTGTGGATCCTGTTTGAAAGAGATCTTCAGAGATACATAAGGATTTTGCAGCATTGCTAATTGACGAAGCATAAAACATTGAAAAGCAAAGTAGCCAATCATATTTTAGTCTAATATTTGTATGAACCCAACCAATTATTCAATTTTCGACACAGCATGTTGTGCAAATGCAGGAAATTGGACTAAAATCATGGGTTTCAATTATCCATGGGAAAGTGCAACATATAAACATAGCCAACCTAAAAGACTTTAGTTATTTAATTATTTAATATCTTACATGTTTCTCCAAGAAGCTCAAGAAATTCTAACTATTCACTGAAGACCACTTTATAAGCCCACCACACTAGAAATCAGAATGTCAGATCTGATATTCTTGCCCACAATTGGGACCAGACTTTCTATTGCTAGCAAGGTAGTTAAGTGAGTTGTGCCTGATTGTACGACCTTTTTGCCACAGTTGATAAGTAAATCACTGCAGTTGTTAAGTGAAACACATAGTTATTAAGCAAATTCATCTTCCCCATTGATTTTGCTTGTCAGAAGCCATCTGGGAAGGTTATAAATGTTGATTACATGACCCAGGATACTGCAAGCATTGTAAATACATGCCAGATGCCAAGTGCCTGAATTTGGATAAGGTGACTGTGAGGATGTTGTTATGGCCATAAGTGCAGAGACCAATCATAACTTTTTTCAGTGCCATTCAAGCAGTCGCTAAAACTGTATTCATGTATTTGTATGTTATCTAGAGCAGGCTCAGTAATTGAGGCAGCTTATAAATTGATTCAAAAAAATAAATAAATGTGTATCTGCTAAATAGGAACAGGAGAAAGATAGGGCTATGGAAACAAAGTCCTTCCACCAGAATGAAATTCTTTGTAAATTTGATCTTTCCCTGTCACTTTATCTGCATGTGTTGGCCATTGCTGTATATTGCAGCACTCAGAACTTGTCACTAATGGAAGGCTTAGTGCCATCTAGTGCTGGAAGGGAGATATAAGAAGAGGGAAGCTACCCTGCCAAAAACGTAAGGGAAACATGATGCTTAGTCTTCCTCTAGATTCCTCAGATCAGATCTATATTTCATCCAGTTGAAGATCAGTCAGCTACCACTATAATTTCTTTCCTTGCCCATGGTTCAAGGTAGTTTCTTTTTAAACAATAGTTATTTGTGGATGCACTTAATATTGCTTTTGTATGGTTAGCACTAGGAGTGAGCATTTATCAGATCATTCATTGGGAGGTTATAGTTTGAAGGAACATCATACAGCAAGTGTTATAAGTGCTCAAGAGGGGCATTAAAACGCCTAAGAATTTAGGAACCTATGGAAATTACATTTTGCAAATCTTCCTGAAAATTGCCTTAATCTGCATTTGACTAGTTAATGTGTAAATCGGGACATGATTATTTGTCACATTTTACATTTCCCAACCATTGGAGAAAGAGAAGAAGATAATTAAGCTGTTGAAATAGTTAAAATAGTTGTTCAAATGTGGGAGAACAAAAATGGCACACATCACTGCTAAAAATGATCCATGTCTTTTTAACATCCCCAGAGAGACCTGAAGGGGGGATTTTAATTGAAATCTGCTGTCCTGGCCCCCCTCCTTCCATTTTGCCACTTTTTCCTCACTTCACGCTGGGTCAATATATTTTTTTCTCCATTGTTTTTGTTCTTTGAAGCCAGTAACCCAATATAATGGAATGTGTATAGAAACCCCACTAATTTGTGGTATTACATTCTAGCTTTCCTGCACAGAATGAAAAGTGTCCATCGATTCAATCATTTCAAATTCTGAAACATCATATTTCTGGACAGAGCCTCCCTGTGAGAATTGAGGCCAGCAGGACTAAGGCAAAAAGTCAAGATGATGGTTGCAACTGTGTAATCAAATCCATCAACTTTTTTGACACTCTCCCCTGTGATATCCTGCTTGAGGCAGCTGCTCCCAGTGTTGGTCCTGAAGGCTCTGCCAATTCCTATAAAATATCTTAGTCCACCTGCAGGGCAGCCATTTTGTTTTTGTCAAAAGAGACATTCTTTTAAGTGATTATTTACTGGGCTCACCAAAATGGCTAGACAGATCTAGTTGGCTTGGCAGACACCAAACAAGCAAGACCCATAGAAGAAGCAGAATGAGTAGCAGATACAGCCAGATAGTTTTACCACCCCATATCTCCTCCTTTTAAGTGCTTCTCACTCGGTCTAAAAAAACCTTGTCCCTCAAAACAGTCGTTCTCCAAAGAGAAGAGCACACTTAAGCAGAGAACTTGGAAGGTTGATGGGAAGAAGAAAAGGAACTTGGTGCTCCTGCTCCTTGGTCTACTTTGCCTCTCACAGCTGGCTGTAGTTCATTTAGAGCCTGGAGATAATATTGACAGAGCTGGATAGCCACTCATATTTAAAAAGATCTGTGATAGAGGAGCAAGCTGGTCTGCACATTAGGTGGGAGAAACTGAAGATGTCATTTGTGCTTGTAATATCCTCAGCATCTCATTTTGATCCATTTCATTCTAATGTATGGGATCTCAGCCTTAATTACATCCTAAAGATCAGGGACAGCCCCATTGCTGCCTAAAAATGTCCAAGAATTGGGGAAATTCTTCCGGATGGCAAGCAAAACTGAGAAAATATGCAAAAATGAAATGTGGTGACATGATAGTAGTAGTGTTCCAATATTTGAGGGCCTGCCACAAATAAGAGAGGCCAACTTATTCTCCAAAATACCTGAAGGAAGGACAAGAGGCAATGGATAGAAACTAATTAAGGAGAGAATCAACCTAGAACTAAGGAGAAATTTCCTGACAGTGGGAACAATTAACCAGTGTTAATTGGCTTGCCTCCAGAAGTTGTGGGCGCTCCATCACTGGAGGTTTTTAAGAAGAGATTGGACAACCACTTTTCTGGAATGGTAGAGGGTCTGCTTGGGCAGGAGGTTGGACTGGAGGGCTTCCTGGGTCCCTTCTAACTCTTTATTCTGTTATTCTTTCTATGATCATGTATATCCATTCCATCAAGCCCAAAGAAAGTCCAGAATGATATAGGATCTCCTGTCATGACAGGGAATTGGATTAAAAGATCTCTAAGGTCCTTTCCACCCTTATTATTCTATTCTATTCTATTCTATTCTATTCTATTCTATTCTATTCTTCTTTTTTATTATTACCGTATTTTCCGCCGTATAAGACGACTTTCTAAACCAGTGGTTCTCAACCTTTTTAATGCCGCGACTCCTTCCACGATTCCAGTATTTTTGCTTCATGTAGAGCTTCGTTATATATTTCCAACAATATTGGTTCTATAATCTCACTCATATTTTATAAATGGGAGGCCGTCCGGTCCTGGTCTCTTATTATTCTTAAGTCTTAAAATTGCCCCTCTCAATTCTTCTCTGTTTAGTATTGCCCTTTTTCCCTCCTCTAGTGGTATAATCCCTTCTTCCAACAAATAGGTCCCTTCCACCCTTATTATTCTATTCTATTCTATTCTATTCTATTCTATTCTATTCTATTCTATTCTATTCTATTCTATTCTATTTCTAATTATTTCCTCATGTGTTTGTATCATGATCTAATGGAGTGAGATGCTTCACTGCAGCTTTCCTGCATCTGCAATCCCAACACATCTGGAAGTCAACAGCTGGATGAAGGATGAAAACATTTTGGAAACAAAGATGATAGGCTCTCTGGTTCTGTAGGTAATCTCTTAGTCTTCATGCACAACTGCTCCTGTTGCCATACCTTCCTTCTTTAATGGATGTGAATCATCTAGTGCAAAGAACATCATGCCCAATTGTATAGGGAGCTCCCTAAAGTCCAGCTCACTCTCTCACAAGGCAACAAGGCCATGTAATCATTTGGCAGCATCTTCACAGAGGCCTAACCATTGTCAGATGCTACTGATACAAGAGGATTTGCTCTCTGAAGCAAGGGTGAAATGGTGTCCACCCTCCCCATTCCATTTACTGAAGGCCATTTCACTGATAAGTGAGCCCTAATGAATTTGTATAAAAGGAAATTTAGATTTATACCTTGTTTATCAGGCACAAACTCAAGGCTCTGGCAACTGAGTAGCATTTTTGCCTAAAGCTGAGGGCAGCAAGCTAGTTTAGGAGATAAAGGCTCTGTTCTCAATAGACAGAACAGCTTGGGAAGATAAACATCATCTAGACAGCTCATTCCTGTTGTCCCCTAGCATTTATACCTCAAGTAATTGCTTCTCTTTGCTTCTGTATAGCCACAAAAAATGGTTGAGGGTGGACAGCTCAGGCAGGGAGAGAGAAACCAAGTGCCCTTTCAGGGGGCCTACAAGAAAACTTTTCCAAGTCCTTCACAATCTTCAGCCACTTGGTGGTCTTCCTACTCCAGAATATATGTTTTTAATTGAAAACATTTTATTTGGCATAGTCGGGGGGGGGGGCTTCCTATCAGTTTTGATACAGTTTCTAATTCAAAACATATATTACAATTAAAATTTAAAAAGCGTTTTAAAACAATTAAAACAGTAAAAAGCATTAAAACAGTAAAAACCTTAAAAAGTCTAACCTGAAGTACATACAAAAGCAAGGCATCTGGCCTGTTAACAATTTACCCAGGAGACATGGCCCTTGACACATGTGGTGTCCCAGGCTCACCAGCATAGCCAGGTTTTTAGTGCTTTACAGAAGCCTAACAGAGTTGGAGCCATCCTAATCTCCAAAGGGAGGCTGTTCCACAGAGCAGGGGCCACTGCAGAAAAAGCTTGCCTTTTAGTCCTTGTCAGTTGACATTCTTTGGCTGACAGGATCATGTGATGTGAGAAGAACCTGAAGAGATGCTGCTTAAGGAATGGTCAGGTAAGAGAGGACAGAGCCCGAAGCTACATAATGGGTAGAGAAAGAGGTTCAGAAGGGATTCTCCCTAACTTCTCAGGCTCTAAAAGAGATAGCAGGAGATTTGTACTTTCAGGCATGCAAGTTTTTGTTAATATAGCTTTATAATAAAGTAGAATTAGCTCATCTGGTCGTGTTTCCTGTCTGGTTTACTTGGGAAGATTGACGATAGATAAAATAATGAATCAGCCAACATTTCTAGCTAAGTAGGGAGTCTTTTTGCCAGATTCAGACTCTAAACCCTCCCTAACTTCCCTAACCCATGCTCTCAAAATGCTTTAACCTTTGCAATTATGACTTCCCTAATGTGTAGATCCCTGAGACGTTGTAGCCCATTGTATCTGGAGAGTATCAGGTCAGAAAAGGCTATCAAATCATTGATTCATCTAGCCCAGTGATTCTCAACCTGTGGTCTGTGGACCCCTGGGGGGCCACAATGCCATCACAGGGGTCAGGGAAGGCTTGAAGAAATGTTATGATTTAAATATTGAGTTATATCTTGGGGATCCATGGCCATGGTCTATGGTCACAAAAGGTATTTAAAAGGGTCTGTGGTGGAGAAAAGGTTGAGAACCACTGATCTAGACTGTAGTCTGTTTTACTTAATACAATCCTGGGTTGTATAAACAAAGGCATAGAATCAAGATCACGCAAAGTATTAGTACCACTTTATAAAACCATAGTAAGACCACATCTGGAACACTGCAACCAATTTTGGTCACCATATTAAAAAAAAGATGTTGAGACTTTGGAAAAAATTCAGAGAAAAGCAACTAAAATGATCAAAGGCCTGAAGACTAAAGCATATGAAGAACGGCTGCAGGACTTGGGTTTGGCTAGTCTAAAGAAAAGAAGAAACAGGGGCAACGTGATAGCAGTATTCCAGTATTTGAGGGGCTGTCACAAAGAAGAGAGCATCAAACTATTCTCCAAAGCACCAGAGGGCAGGACAAGAAACAATGGTTGGAAACTGACCAAAGAGAGAAGCAACCTGGAATTAAGGAGAAACTTCCTAACAGTGAGGACAATTAACCAGTGGAATAGCTTGCCGTCAGAAATTGTGGGTGTTCCATCACTGAAGGTTTTTAAGAAGAGACTAGAGTAGACAGTCACTTCTCTGAAATGGTATAGGTTCTCCTGCTTGAGCAGGGGCTGGGCTAGAAGACCTCCAAGGTACCTTCCAGCTCTATTCTATTCTATTCTATTCTATTCTATTCTATTCTATTCTATTCTATTCTATTCTATTCTATTCTATTCTACTTGACAGCAGTATAAGATTATTTTTGATGCAAAAATGCAAACAAGCAATAGATGGTAACACAGAGACACAGAAAACTCTCTTTCCTGCCATCTAAGGGTCATTCTGATTATTTCAGTCTAGATCTGGAAGCCCTAAGTGTAGACATAACTAGAAATGTCAGGAATCACACATCGAATTTTTTGCATAAATGCATAAATGAAGCAGCTGGATTAGATAGCCCCTAATTCAAGTTATATACTTCCAGACATCAGTTCCAATAGAGAGACTCACCGGTTTCGTCGGTGACCTGATTTTTTCTTCTTTTTCTTTTTTGGTGGTGGAGAGGTGGAGCTACTAGATTGTCTCTTCAGCCTAAGGAAGAAGTAAATAGAAGACACTCAGTCATTTCTTTAACAATTTCTCACAGCAGGAGAGAAGATATGTCTGAATCTGAATTGCACCACTTTACAGTGTATAGTAAGCGGTTCCACTCAAGACTAAATACTCATCTATATAACCACCAATTTATTTCTTGACATGCTTATTGGTTTTATTTTCATATGCAAATCAATGATCCTTATGTGATCCTTTCCCCACACTACAACTGTAATTCCAGGGCTCAATTATGGTTGTAACTTGAAGACTATGGTTAGAATACAGTATTGCAAGCTAATTCTGCCCATAGGCAGGAGTTCACTCCTGACTGGCTCAAGATTGACTCAGTCTTCCATCCTTCTGAGGTCAATAAATGAGGACCCAGATTGTTGGGGCAATATGCTGACTCTGTAAACCAGGCATGTCAAACTCACGATGTATCACGACTTTTCCCCCATTGCCGGCAATGGGGTGGGCGCGGTTTCAGCATGATGCATCCAACCCGTGGGCCAGCAGTTTGACATGCCTGCTGTAAACCATTCAGAGAGTGCTGTAAAGCATTAAGGCACAGTGTATAAGTCTAAATGCTATTGCTATTGCTATCTTTGCCACTATTATTTCCAGCCAGAGGAGATGCTTGTACATTTTGTGTGTGTGTGTGTGTGTGCAATTGTGGGAGTGTTTGTGTATATCTATGGGTGACAGCAGGGCTTTTTTTGTCACAGAACGTCCAGAACGGAGTTCCAGCACCTTTTTTGGATGGAACCTTGTAGGGTAGGCAAGGCGGGTTGTAAGATATGTGTGAGTTCTGGCACCCTTTTTTTTTTTTTTTTTTTTTTACAAAAAAAGCACTGGGTGACAGTGACAACAGCATTTTTATAGTATTCTGTCTGGGTGACACAGATAGAAATTAAAACCATAAAATAGAGAGATGGAAAATGAAGGTAAGATTAAAAGCAAATTAAAAGAGCAGTGAAAGTAAGCCACGAATAATAGTATCGAGGGATCTACAGCACTTATAAATAAAAATGAGTCCCTTTACAGGGAGTACAGATATGATAACTTCATTTATTTCACAAAAAGGGTCTTGTGTGGCTGAAGTGCATATTTCTTCATATCATCATGAGGCATAAATCAGAAAATGACATGAATTAAATGGAAAGCTGTAAGCCTCAGAATTGTCAGGGCCTTTTCCATGCAGAATTAACTGCCGGGTAAAATGATTGGTCCTTACAATTGCTGAACACAGAATCCTAGAATTATACATTGGATTCACGCAACACTTTGCAGTAAGTCCTAAAGGATAAAGGGAAATAAAACACAAGTACAGTATTCACAGCATATTATTCAAAATCCCTTTGTATAGCTTTATGCAATGGTCTTTTTTGCGCGACATTCTAATTCATGACTGAGTTGCCATAATATCCTGAATCGCAAAATGTTCAACTTCATTTTAGCATAATTTGAATGGGAAAGGCCTTCAAAGATCATATGTTTTAACCCCTGCCAATTACTAACTAATCACTGCAGCATCCTGGGGATTATTTGATCATCCAGCCTGAAGACTCAATAGCAAAGGTGAGGCTGGGGCCATCTCATTTGCTGGAAAGTTAAACTATTTTGTCTTGTAATTTGCTATGAAATGTTTGGGAGCAAAAAGTAGCCAATTGATTGTGTAAGCAATTCTTTTTTTAAAACTAGAAAAGGAGAGGGGAAAAGACCAAGGAAGGAAAAGGGTTGATGTTTGGGAGGAGAGAAGAGAAAAAGAAAAAGAAAAAGAAAAGAAAAATCAGATGTAGTATTGAGGAAATTCCAGAAGCATCTGTAGGTTTGATCAAAAACTGTGGTGACCACAGTAGTGTGATGCAAATAGATAGATATACGATTATAGACAGATGACAGAACTTCAGTTGCACCATAATCTTGGTTTTTTTCACCACACCTTGCAGACATCCCTGATAAATTCTCTTAAATTCATCAATCTGTGATAACGAAAAGAACTCTTAAATAATTAGTATAGAAAGTAGATATCAATGGCTTGAAGTTATATTTTGGCTACATTTGTACAATTTATTCCCCATTCAAGTTCTTTGGCATTGGAAGCCTGCCTCTAAAGCATATCAGAGATATATAAATATTATCCCCTTTAGCTGTGTACAACATGTGGACCTGACCTGGTTAAAAATCTAGCAGCCATATTTATATGAATCTTCATTCATTTCTTTTTGGTCTTAGCATGTTGTGCAAACCCAGCTTGTTTAGTTCATTTATGTTCATTGTTATATAATCAGATTATTCTTATAGTGTGGAGCCACCTGCACAGTATGTAAATTAATGTGGCCTTTGGGGGGTTAATCAGCCCATTGCAGTGTAGATCCCTGAGTCTGAAAACTTTGACACAGAACTGATAATAATAAAAAAAAAATGTTTTGGCCAGGGAGGAAGATTTTCTTCCCCAGTTTAAAATAAATAGTGGTATCCTACTGGAGAGATGCATAAAAATAGCACATCTGGGTATTCTGCGCATGAATGGACAGTCCAGAGAAAAAGGATAAAATATGATTGAGAATTTAGAGGGTTTTATCTTGACACATGAGACATCTATTTGTGGGGATAAAAAGTCAAGATGGCAGCTATAGTGTCAGGGAATTGTGCAGCAAGTATCCAAATGAAGTCAGAGATGCTGACATGAACTTGTAGTTTCATATAAATAAATATATATTTACATCTATATTTACAGTAAACAAGATAGTCAGGCTAACAGGAGCATCATGAGGTAAATCACAGAGCATACAGGGCACAAAGAAAAAGACGGGAAAAAGGGCAACTCCCCCTTCACATCCACAGAAACCAATCACAGCACAGATTGCAACCCACAAGAGCCAGCACTCTCCAATCAATCAACTATAACTATGTTCTGGCTCATTGCAAAACCCACTGCTCCAGCTACTAAATTTAAACATCTTTAACATATAGCCACACAAAGACCACCCCCTTTGCACATGTGTGTGGCATCAATCTTGTTAGAGAATTTTAATTTCTCTATTGGTGAAAAAATAAATCAGAAGCTCTCACAGTTGACTGCATTTAGCTGATTCAAAATAACTTCTTTATATTTATATAAACATATTTACAATACCATGCATTCTTCTTTACAGCAACATAGCACAAATGAAGACTTCTTAGAGAGATACGGAGACAGACCTGAGACTAAAAATTCAGCTTCTAACTCAATACCTTTTTACACAGACTCAGTAGCACTTTCTTCACATTGGCTGACTGAGTTACCACATGACTCTTCCTGCTCATGAATATTCCAACACTCCTCCCTTCATGACAGGAAGAGACATCAGACCTATTGACTTAATACATTCTCCATAATGAACACCACCCAATGGTTTAGCCATCATGTCTGCCAAATTATCCTCAGAAGAACAATGATGTAAACTAATCAATTTTCCTTTTATAGCTTCCCTGACATTACAATACTTAATGTCCACATGTTTACTTCTGTTCTTCACCCTGTCACCAGTTGCCATTTTTATACAGGCAGCATTGTCTTCAAATACCTTTACAGATTCTTTTACATTAATATTTAAATCTTGCAACAACTGTATATCATTATTTGGCAATACCTTTTTCTTATATACCCACTTACAACCCACAGCTTTGGTTCTCTGTGGCAAAGTCACTGATTTAAATACTTCATGGTCTCCCATGGATTTCATCTCTTTATCCATGGCCTCCTTCCATCTTTCTTGTTCAGCTTTTGGTAATTCCAACACTTCTTTATAACTTCTTGGCTCATACCACACATTGCAAACCTTTACTTTGCTGGCAGAATACCTGTCAGGTGGAATTCCTTTGTTACATCGCTCTGACCTACATGGTATTAACTGCTCCTGTGTCTCAAGTCTATCTGGCTTCATGTCTTGTTCAGCCTCTCCTCCCTGAACATTGACATCTTCAATAATCATTTTTCCATCATTAGATGAGTTATTGTCATTAAATAGATCACCGTCATTAAATGGGACATACCCAGAATTTGCATTAATTCTGTCCCAATTTTGTTCTGCAAAATTAGCAGACTTGAAATTACAATTCTTTTACTTCCATCGCTAAAGCGATATCCTTTTGACCCTGGCTCATAGCCCACAAGCCTGAGCTTTCTTGCCTTTTGCTGTCCCTTTCTTCTGATTGCTTTTAGAATATGTACCCATGCAGTACTTTCAAAAATTCTCAAATGTGCCAGTGATGGCTTTCTCCCATATAGAATAGCATATGGAGTATTATTAATGAAGGAACTCCACAGCCTGTTAACTATATAATTGGCAGTCAATATAGCTTCTCCCCAATATGACCTGCTCATACGAGAATCTTCTAATAATGAATCTTTCATTGTTTGCAAAACACTATTCCTTCTTTCAGCTACACTGTTCTCTGCTGCTGTGTAAGGATTTGTACGTCTGTGTCTTATCCCCAACTGCCCCAACCATTGTTGGAATTTAGTTGACATAAATTCAGTACCTCTGTCAGTTTGTAACTGACACACACCTTCTCTCTACAAAACTTACCCACTGTTTGAATTGTTGTAGCACCTCTGTCTTTGCTCTAAACAAATAGCAAAAACTATACCTGCTATAATCATCAACAATTACCAGTGCATATTTTGCTCCTCCCAAACTGGCTTGCATAGGTCCCACCAGATCTGCATGGACCAGCTCTAGAACTCTTTTTGTTTGTCTTGTGCTATATTTACTAACTGGGAATGCTTTTGACTTTGATGCTTTGCATACTGCACAGTCCAAATATGTTTTGCATCCCTTCAAATTTAATCCTTCTGCAAACTCTTGCATTTGCTGCAAAACTTTAAAGCTTGCATGGCCAAGTCTTCTATGTAGAAGATGAACACACAAATCATGCTCTGCAATATTCTTAAATATATGGGAACACTGAACCTTTTGTCCCTGCAATACATATACATTATCTTCCTTTATGCCTTCTGCACAAATATTCCCATTCCTTTTGATGAGACACTTCCCATTTACAAAAATGACCTCAAAACCTTGTTTGTCTAAATTAGACACACTTAACAAATTATGTTCCATCTCAGGTACACAAAGCACATTGGTAAACTTTGATTCCAAATATGGAATTTTTACATCGCCTCTTCCGATGACTTTTGCTTTCTGGCCATTTGCCAAAGCCACAGTTTCTTGTGCTACTGGAACAAATCTGCAAAATAATTCAGAGTCATTAACAATTTTTTGACTTGCCCCACTATCTATTAGCTACTTGTCTCTGTTATTGCTATAGCAAACTTTTGCAACACCAAAATATTCCTTTTGCAAATCAGTCCTTTTTTCTTGCACAAATGTCCTTTGCTGCAAACAGTTCCTCTGCAAACAGTTCTTTTTCAGATGGTTGTTTGCTCCACAAATGTAGCAATTCTTTTCTTGCTTAGCTCTCTGCCTGCAAAATGTTTCTTCTTCGGAGACTTGCAGTCTGGACTCCCTCCTCAGGAATTTCACCTCCTCCTGGCTGCTTCTAAAATGGCACTTTTCTTCTTCATTAAGCAAACATGCCTTTAAAGCCTCAAAATTTAAGTCTTGCTCTTCTTTACACTCAAATATGGCAGAAACTGGATCCCAGGTTTTATCTAAACTGTTCAACACCAATAAAACCTTCTGGGACTCAGGGAATTTAATCCCACGTTGTTCTAAGTCCAAAAATAAACTTTGCATTTTATTTAAATGCTGTTCCACAGATTCACCTGGTTGCAAACAGGTCCTGTAAAGTTTTCTTGACAATTGCACTATATTGCATGCAGAAACATTCATGTGCACAGCTCTCAACTTCAACCAAATCTCCTTTGCAGTCTTTAAATTTGCAACATTTAGAAATTGTTCATCATCTAAATTCTAGATGAGATAAGCCATTGCTTGATCATGACTCTTCTGATCAGCAGCTGCAAATATTTGTGGTGGATTTTCTACAATATACCACAGCTCTTTAGCTTTCAGCAAACATTCCATTTTTGCAGCCCACACAATGTAATTCTTCTGGCCCAAATGAGGCACACAGCTTTCCTTAAATTCCATTGCAGCCATTCTACTTATTCTGCCATGTTCTTATACTTTCTAAACACAGGCAATTTCTTCCAGCTTTAAATTACAATGCAGTCCTTAGTAAGCTCTGGGCCCAGAACCTGTTAGAGAATTTTAATTTCTCTATTGGTGAAAAAAATAAATCAGAAGTTCTCACAGTTGACTACATTTAGCTGATTCAAAATAACTTCTTTATATTTATATAAACATATTTACAATACCATACATTCTTCTTTACAGCAACATAGCACAAATGAAGACTTCTTACAGAGAGATACAGAGACAGACCTGAGACTGAAAATTCAGCTTCTAACTCAATACCTTTTTATACAGACTCAGTAGCACTTTCTTCACATTGGCTGACTGAGTTACCACATGACTCTTCCTGCTCATGAATATTCCAACAAATGTACATAGAAAAGGTGTGCAGCTTTAACTGTAGCTGCCATCTTGATTTTTTTTTTACTTTCCCCCTCTAAGGACACTACCACTGCTACAGCTATCATCTTGTCTTTTGATGGATTTTACTTGAAACCAAATACATCCAACTCCTTTAACCTTTCATCCCAGGAAATAAATAATTAGCAAATCTGGTCACATGGAGTTGTATAGAAATCTGGCCCTGAATAAAGATAAGGAGATAAATAAGAAATTTTATCAGTTCCAAAATTACAAAAAACTTTGTCTCCCAAAGTCAAAAATTCCAACTTACAGCTGAAATCTAAGCTTTTATCTTAGCTAGAATTGTGAAGTCATTGGTGGATGTGTGGGCTTATCCAAAGAGAAGTAGTATTTACCATAATAAGATTTTCTGCATTTGTCAGGAAGTTGGTATTTTATTTCAAAATTTCACTGAAAAGCTTCTCTTCCTAGAAAATTGGCCCAGCTGCTGAATCTATTTCCTTGGCTTGCTCATTTTAACATCTAAGTCAGGGGTGTCAAACTGCCAGCTCACGGGCCAGTTTCATCATACCAGAGCCGCACCCACCCATTGCCGGCAATGGCGAAAAAGCTCCGATACATCGCGTGATGTCATGTGACATCGCGAGTTTGACATGCCTGATCTAAGTAATCATTTGTTCATGGCATAGGAATTGTTCTTTTTTATCTTTTTGGGTGTTATTATTTGGCAGATTAAAATCCATAGTTGCCATTTGAAATGAACCAACAGTAAAGCTCTTATTTGTAAGATTAAGATTCATGTGCTAAAAGGACTCTGATTAAACTTCATAGAATACTAAAATCTTGCTAGAAACTCAAAATAGAGTTTCCCTTGGAGCCACAGCTGATATCCATGACACTCACCTGTATTCCTGGTGATTGCTGTCATATTGGTAACACTCAGTTGCACAGTCACACTGCAATGGGCAACCTTCTTCATACTCTGCATATTGTATGGCATATTCTTCTCCGTCTACCATATGGTGATTTTCTATCACTCTGTCCAAGAAAAAAGAGAAAAACAGTCATTCAGAGCTTACCAATATATCTAGTATTATGGGGAAAGCCCCATTCTGAATATGATTTCATTCATGCTTGCACCAGGATTCTTTGTGTGTTTGACTGCACATTGTAAAACAATCGACAAAACTAATATTATTTCTATATGCCACAATCATATTAAAACTTCTTTTCTGTAATGTTTTGTCAGTATGTGTGTATATATGGCTGATATATACATACATACATATCCATTTAAATTATAAGGGAAAATGGAGTAATTGAGCAAAATTTCAATCTTCAGCAAGTTTGCAGGGGTTAATAAATTCCTAGTTCAGATTAATTCCACACATACAGGTAATCCTTGATTTACAACCACAATTGAGACCAAATTTTCTGTGCTAAATGAGTCAGTTGTTAGGTGAATTTTGCCCCATTTTATGACCTTTCTTGCCACAGTTGTTATGTGAATCACTACAGTCGTTAAGTTAGTAACATGGTTATTAAATGAACCTGGCTTCCCTATTGACTTTGCTTATGAGAAGTTCGCAAAAGGTGATCACAGGACCCCAGGACACTGCAACTTCATTAATATGAATCAGTTGCCAAGCGCTTGAATTTTGATCATGTGACCATGGGGATGCCGCTTTGAAACAATCAGCTTGAATGATCTCTTTTTGTGTCCCAATTGAAGTTTGCCTTAATGAATGTAATATTTGTTGTATTTGGCATATGCAGTTTCTGCACATTTATAAAAACAGTGCAGTAATCATTTTAAACTGAGGAAAAGAACTCAGCTAAAGAGAATGGTCAGGGAGACTAAAAATTCCCCATCAGTTTTTATTATCTGGAGAAAGACTGAGGAAGAGGCAGACAGTTCATCTGGTCTTATATTTCTTACTAAAGTGAAATATATTAAATTATTATTTTTAAGTTACTATAATTCATTCTAAATTTGCATATATAAATTAGCATCTTATTATAAATTAGCACTCGCCAATCTTATACACTACAGTACAAAGACCAGCATTGTCCAAAGATCTCCTGTGACAGCATGCAGTTGCCTGGAGCTCTCTGCTATCATGTCACATTTATACCCAGCCTGACATATTGTTTTTTCTAGCTGACCCTGACAGTACAGGCAGTGTAGAAAACAGGGACAGCTATTGAGCTGGTAAGAGCAAGATGAAAAGGTTGGGATTTTAAAGAGAATTCTTATGAGAAGGAGAAATAAAATCTAATGGTTAGCAGACCAATATGAATTCTAGAACGGACTTTTCAAGACAGCCCAGGGCAAAAATTTTGATGTGATCAGAAGTGAGGAGAAATCTCAAGATGCACTGAAGGAAAGAAAATATTGACATAGGAAAAGACAGCTAACTTGTGGGAAGTCAGGAGAGAGACTATATCCTGCCCCCTCAGAAAAATAATATCAACCAAAATAATTAACCTCCTTATTTATCTCTAAGTGATTGATTGATTAATTATACATTATTAAGTCATTTTTTTACCACGTAGACTTTTTCCAGGAAGATCTATAACAATCTATAAGAGAATAAGAGAATAACAGAGTTGAAAGGGACCTCTACCATTCCAGACAAGTGGCTGTCCAGTCTCTTCTTAAAAGTCTCCAGTGATGGAGCACCAATAACTTCTGAAGGCAAGCCATTCCACTGGTTAATAGTTCTCACTGTCAGGAAATTTCTCCTTAGTTCTAGGTTGCTTAGTTCTAGGTTTCCATCCATTGTTTCTTGTCCTGTTTTCTGGTGCTTTGGAAAATAGGTTGACCCTCTCTTTTTTCCTCAGATATTGGAATACTGCTATCAGGTCGCCCCTAGTCCTTCTTTTCACAAGACTAGACATACCCAATTCCTGCAACTGTTCTTCATATGTTTTAGCTCCATCCTCCTAATCATCTTGGTTGCTCTTCTCTACACTCTTTCTTGAGTCTCAACATCTTTTTTATAATATGGTGACCAAAACTGGATGCAATATTCAAAGTTTGATCTTACTAAGGCTTTATAAGTGGTACTATCCTACTTATCTCTAAATATGGAGAGGGAAAGGAATGTAAAAGTAGAAGAATTCTTATTTAGTGAAGAAAATTCTAAGACTGAAAACTTTTATTTTGTTTGGTTGCTTAGCTAAGTTGCAAAGTTGCTTAAAATGAACCTTACCTTGTTTTGCTATATTAATAAGAGAAAAATCACAAAAATGACTTAACTGCTGCATCTTGGATCAAATCCACAACTGCCAAAGCCCTCATAACATTTCTGTAAATACAATTTATAATCCAGATGATGTTTTAAATCAGGGAATTTGGCTTTAGTTTGCTAAATTATTTCTTGGATTAGGTAGAATGGGAAGTGGAATCCCTTTAATTGTATTTATTTATTAGAAAAATTAACCCATGTGTTGTCAATAAGAGTAAATTCTTTACTGAGAGCTATCTGTCAATTCAAAAAGTATTGAATCAGTATGCAAGCAATGCCTCCTCACCAACAAAAAAATCCATCATGGACAAAATAGAGAAAATCACTGTAATAACATTTGGAAATGTCACCCCCCCCCCTCTGCCTTTGTCTCTGCTTTTTCAGAAACAGCATATAATTACAATATTATGGCTGACTAATGTTTTTTGGAGGTGGAATTCTCCAGCCTTCTCTTGGAAAGGAGTCAGGAGGGGAAAATTGCAGCAAGAGTAGTACAGCCCAACAGATACTGCCTGGGAGATATTAATCTCTGCTGTTGAAGAAGATTAACCTGATTATAAGCCAAGTGAATAATTGGCTGTTGTAAAGGAAATGAACCCCAGGATGTTTTGGGGAGAGATATTAGTGGGCTGGAGAAATTTAAAAAAGGAGCGTAGCTTTTCGATGGGTAAAAAGATTACTCATAGTTTTCTTCATGGATAAAAGATAAAGTATCCTTTCAGTCAAAGTTTGTCCTTTGGTAAGTTCATGGACATATCCATGCATTCTTCTGGTTAACAGCACAACCTTCTTTATCTATAGTTATTGGACAGCAAAATCTCTAAAAAAAACAGTACTCATGAGCTTCTGTTCATGATTGTTTCATGGCAGAGGACTGAGGAGGGGGTTGTACCTCTGTGTATCCTAAGGCTCAGAATGAACTAAGGCTTGCGACAAAAGTAAAAAATAATAAAAAAAACTTCTTTCAACATGTAAAAAACAAGAAAAAGGTTAAGGAAAGGATTGGTCCATAAGTGGGAGAAAGTGGAATTAAGGTGACAGGCAACAGGGAGAAAGCAGAACTATTTAATTTGTTTTTTGCATCCGTCTTTACACAAAGGGAAAAAACAGTCCAACCCAACAAAAACAGTACCGTAAAAAACAGAATAGAAACACGTTAAGATAGGCAAGAAAATGGTAAGTGAGTACCTGTCCACCCTAGACAAGTTCAAATCACCAGGACCAGATGGATTACACGCCAAGGTTCTGAAGGAACTGGCAGATGTGATCTCAGAACCACTGAACTATATTTTTCAAAGATCCTGGACCACTGGGGGACTACCAGAGGACTGGAAAAGAGCTGATGTAGTTCCCATCTTCAAAAAGAAAAAAAAAACAGATCCAGGAAACTACAGACCTATCAGCCTGACCTCAATAGCTGGGAAGGTTCTGGAAAAGATAATCAAGCAACGCATCAATGAACACCCAGAGGCAAACAAAGTCATAACCAAACGCCAACATGTTTGTCAAGAACAGTTCATGCCAGACAAATCATATTGCATTTTTTGACAAGGTGACAAAATTAGTGGATCAGAGGAATGCTGTGGATATAATTTACTTGGACTTCAGTAAGGCATTTGATAAAGTAGATCACAACCTACTACTCGATAAGATAGAAAAATGTGGGTTAGGCAGCATCATCATCAGATGGATTCATAACTGGTTGACCAACCACACTCAATGTGTAGTCCTCAATGGAACTGCATCTACATGGAGGGAAATGTGCATTGGGGTGCCCCAGGGCTTTGTTTTGGGTCTAGTGCTCTTCAATATCTTCATCAATGGTTTGGATGAGGGGATAGATAGGGAACTCATCAAATTTTCAGGTGATACCAAGCTGGCAGGAATAGCCAACATTCCAGAAGATAGGCTTAAGATACAGAAAGATCTTGATGGAGTTGAACATTGGGCACTATCTAACAAAATAAAATTCAACGATGAAAAAAGTAAGGTTCTACAGTTAGGCAAGAAAAACCAAATGCACAGGTACAGTATGGTGGTACCTGGCTCAGTAGTAGTAACTGTGAGAGGGATCTTGGAATCCTAATGGACAATCACTTAAATATGAGCCAGCATTGTGCTGCAGCTGCCAAAACAGCCAACATAGTACTAGGCTGCATTAACAGAGGGATAGAATCAAGATCATGTGAAGTGTTGATACCACTTTACAATGCCTTGGTAAGGCCACACTTGGCATACCGCATCCAGTTTTGTCACCACGATGTAAACAAGATGTTGAGACTCTAGAAAGAGTGCAGAGAAGAGCAACAAAAATGATCAAGGGACTGGAGGCTGAAACATATAAAGAACATTTGCTGGAATTGGATATGTCTAGTTTAATGAAGAGAAGGACTAGACATGACATGAAAGCAGTGTTCCAATATCTCATGGGTTGCCACAAAGAAGGGGGAGTCAGGCTATTTTCCAAAGCACTGAAGGCAAGACAAGAAGCAATGGATGGAAACTAACCAAAGAGAGAAGCAACCTAGAACTAAGGAGAAATTTCCTGACAGAACAATTAATCAATGGAACAACCTGCCTCCAGAAGTTGTGAGTGTTCCAACACTGGAAGTTTTTAAGAAAAGATTGGCCAACCATTTGTCGGAAATGGTATGGGGTTTCCTTCTCGAGCAGGGGGTTGACTAGAAGACCTCCAAGGTCCCTTCCAACTCTGTTATTCTATTCTATTCTATTCTATTCTATTCTATTCTATTCTAGCTGCTTTTCATGTGGCAGAAGAACCTTTTAGATTGTGGTTGAAATGACACTTTTGGAGGTCTCAAGGGAGCCTGAGATGCAAATGCAGCCTGTCCTTGCTAATCTATAGTTTAAGTTATGTGTAATAAGCATCATTTGGGTTTACATAACATTCTTATCCTTTGACCCATAAACTAATTATCACATTAACCTACCAAAGCTAACCAAGGCCAGCAGCAACCATCTTTTGTTGTACAAATGAAATGTGTTATGCAGATGCTGCCAGCAGAACCTTAGCTAACCTAATTAATCTTATTACATAAACACAGCTAGGTAGTCCTTACTTGAAATAAGGAATTATATCTGCAGCAAGATCATGATTACAAGCAAAGCAGATGAAGGCTGCTAAAAAAAGAAACTGGTCTAAACCTTGAAAGCTAAGGCTTAGGACTCCTTTGGCATCTTTTGTCTCCATTCTGAGCATTATGCCTGTTTTTCTCCTTCCCTTCCTCAGGACCATGGCTTATTTATCTCTCTTGCCCCAAATGGCCAGCCCTAATAAAGTCTCCATATTAATAAATTAACCTTATTCCTGGCCTGAAAATCTTTCTGATTTCTCTCTTGGCTTCCCTGTTGGCTGTCCTGGCTGATGGCTGTACATTAATGTGCAATTCATTGCTGGGCAATGTGTAGTACAGGAGTTCAATCAATCGATCAAAATAGAGCTGGAAGGGACCTTGGAGGTCTTCCAGTCCAATCCACAAGCAGGAGACCCTATACCATTTCAGACAAGTGACTATCCAGTCTCTTCTTAAAACATCCATTGATGAAGCACCCACAATTTCTGAAGGCAAGCTGTTCCATTGGTTAATTGTCCTCACTGTTAGGAAGTTTCTCCTTAATTGCAGGTTGCTTCTCCCCTTCTCTTCCATTGTTTCTTATCTTGCCTTCTGGTGCTTTGGAAAATGAAGTAACCCCCTCAAATACTGAAATACTGCTGTTGTGTCATCCCTAGTCCTTCTCTTTTCCAGACTAGCCAAACTCAAATCATGCAACCTTTCTTCATATGTTTTAGTCTCCAGATCTTTATTTTAGGAGAAGCCTCCAGTTCAGGAGAAGTAAACCCCTTAACAATGAAAAGGGTTGTGCAGGGGACAGACCACCATCTTTGTCATCCATTAGGAAATAACTCCAGAGATGCAGAAAAGAAAATTGCAGTGCAGTTCACAGCATGTTGTATCCTCCTTTTCATAAATTGATGCCTTTTTGATGACAAGCAGCAAATAGACTGGTTAACTAGCCAATGACAGCAGGGGTGGTTGGTCATTTGATAGAAAAAGACTTCTTTAGTTGGGATGATGAATTTAGCCTGAATTGAATTAGCTTTGACACAATCTATCCACGGTATAGGAAGAGTACTTCAGAAACCAAGGGTTAGCTTAACAGAGAGCAATCTCTTTGCAGGCTTGCCCAGCCATTAACCTTTTCTAGTGATCAAGATGAATATTGAACTTAATGAGCTATCTGTTGAATGCTCAGTCAAGTACATATAACTGAATTCATAGGTTCATGAAATTACAAATATTGGGACAAAATAAAACAATGATGTACCAAAGACCAGGGGAAGATAAAAGTACAACTGCTGGATAAAAGAGTTGGCCAGGACATAAATTTCCATGATGAAGAGCTGGCTAAGAACAGCCAAATCCCTTTCTAATAGTCTTCTCCATTAGTCAATGGAACAATATTTCATGATAAAAACAGCTGGTCAGAATCAACACTTTTAGAATATAAAACAGGAGACAAAAAGGAACTGTGCTTGCCTATTTTTGGGTGTGGTTGTGTGAGAAGTATAAAACCTTCTCTGATCCATACCTTGCAATTTTATTTGCTGTTTTTTACCTGCTACGTCTCTGCTATCTTCTCAACTCAGCAATCTTTCTAGAGTTAGAAGATAACTTTTCCCAACTATCTGATGACTAATTTAGATAATTCTCCTGCTAATATTAGTTGGGAAAATCATGTTCATCAGCAATGAATGCCTTTAATTAGTTGTGCTGGAAATGAGGAATGTACTAAAGGGACAACTATATTCAAGCTGCGATTCAATAAACCTGTGCAATAGTTGTACTATATTGAGAAACTGTTACTTTCTGGGCTGATTGAACTGGCTAAGGATAAAGTTCCTGAGAAAAAGGGAAAAGGTTGCCTATGATTTCTCCCTTTAAGATGCACTTCTGAGATTATTGTGGAAACCCCCATCTGAACTGGACAGAACCATAAAGGGGCTACATTGGGGGAGGGGGGGAGAGAAAACTGTGTTTCCTAATAAGTATATAAAGACAGGAGAGGTTCTTACAATCATCTTCCTCTGCCTGCATTGTGGTTTCATGGACAAAAATTTAAATATTTTTAGTCCAGTATTTTGGAATATGGTTCCTTTTGAATGGCCATATTGGATAGTAATTGAGAATAATCAGCAGCACTCTAATTACCTGATATTTGGGGCACACTGGTCCTGATATTTTTATGGCATTGGTGGTGGTTATATCTTAAATAAACTGGGTAAAATGGTGTACAGGCTAATTGTGAGCACCAGAACTCTTCCTGTGAAGGCTTGTATTATTTGTAAAAGAGCAACAGTAAATGATAAATTTTTAACTGACTGCCATGGGATTTGCTGTTTTCTTCAGCAGAGAGCTTCCCCCCTCCCACAAACAGTGGGTAGAAAAAAAGAATACTGGATAGAAAGTCCCGTTCATCCTTCTTGCTGGCATGCTAAGTTTCTACATGCAAGGATTTGGGGACAATTAGACTCTTTTGAATCTGCTCCACAGACCTGGAGAAAGAGAAGCCAAGATGATGTGATTGCATAGCAATTTCTCCATACTCACATATGCCGTCCGTGTTGATCTTCACGGGTGAGAACACCCTCTTTTTCCATCAACATTTGCCGGAAGGTGCCAACCTTCTGCCGGATATCCTCTTCAGAATACCTGTCAGAAGGAAGGAAGGAAGGAAGGAAGGAAGGAAGGAAGGAAGGAAGGAAGGAAGGAAGGAAGGAAGGAAGGAAGGAAGGAAGGAAGATGGGAAGCACATCAGCAATGTTCAGAGTTTGCCCTCCTCCATCTTTCCTTTACTAAAGGAACCCCCTCCAAATCACATCAACCATCTTTACTTTTTTGACACCTCCCTTCCCCCAAGGACACTCCAGCTAAGGATAATTAGCATCTTGGAAAGTGGACATCTTTTCCCATTTCCCCATATTAATTCAGTAACAGAAGACTTTTCTATGTTGGCTTGCAGAAGCCACACACCAAAAGGAAACTGCACTAATGGCCTCATTCTCCTTGGTCTACTGCAGCATCTTGTCCTTGATGCTATAAAGTGCTGGGCACACCATCTGCGATTGGTCTCCACAGCAGAGCCTCAGTTGTGCACAGAGAGTCCAGGAATTAGGATATCAATAATTCTTATTCATCTAACTTCAAAGAATATAAAGCAACACATTTGGGAGTTCAGTAGTGACTCAACAACATGGAACAGACCTCACAGACATACAAGGAGGAAATTAGAAAGGGATAGATACTGAAATAATTGATGTGTGCTTTCACGCAAATTGGAAAATGGTCCTTATTTCAAACTGCAGCTTTGCCTTTGGAATGGTACTTGTTGCGTTACATAAACAGCTCAGATCAAATAATTTGTCATTGTGGCAGGAATGGCACCTATATCCACAACAGCCAATTTGGAGATAGTGCACCTCCAATCTTCTTAGCATTGACTGTAACCACCCAATATACTTTATTCACTGGCCATCCCTTTTATCTTCCCAGCAACTTCCTACCAGCCTGTCCTCTGTTCATCTCTTAACCTTCCTACTGCCCTTCATCTTCAATGGCATGTTTTTCAGCAATTATAAAACAAATTGAATGCTTTATTCAATTTAGCACAGAATGGCAAAAGAGGAGATGTAACTTAGAGAAACAATTAACAGACCAAACTCCATAATGCCTCTGAACTATATTCCAATGAATGGAATCAGACATGAATCAGAAATTTCCCTCTTCAAAATTTCATCTACTTTCCCCTATATTCTGATGCCAGTATCTATCTGGCAAATCACTGACTGTCTTCACACTTTACTCTTAGCCTTAATGTGCTTTATTTAGTTTTTACTTAGTGTGATGTGTGAAGCCAGTCACCATGCCTTATTTAACAAATCCTATTTAAATTAAACCAGGATTCAAAGCAATGTATGCGACCAGCCACTGACCTGATTTCTTTGTGCATCTATGCTTCAGAAAGTCCATGGAACAGTGGTTCCTAAACTGGGGGGTAATTACTCCCAAGGTGGTAATTTGGGCATATCCTAATTGTACAAATAGTACAATTTGTAATTGCTGCCTTGTGAACTGAGAGTTGAATTTGGGACTGCCACTGTTAAGATAACTGTAAAATAACAGATTCTGCATTTTTTTTGTGAGGTTAATGACATTATTTGAGACTGGAAAAAGGGTAATTGGGTCAAACAGTTTAAGAACCATTCCCCTTGAAGTTAAATACCCAAATATGGAGTGGGTTTACTTCTCCATCTCCATAACAGAGGTGTTGTGCATGTTTCTACTGCTTTGTTGAATTATTTATTATTTATGTATTGGGGGGATGTTTTCCATGTAGCTAGCCACCCAGAGTCACTTAGCAAGTGGGCAGCCATAAACACTGAATAAATATAAAAAAATTGCATGAATAGTTAAAGTATGACATAAGCTCTAAATTCTATGCAGGTCAAAGGGTCTTTCCCCACGACTGAATTAAAAAGCTTTTTACTCTTGAATGGGCAGAAGACAATCCCAGATTAAATTTGCTATTCCCCTTACAGTCGGTATCTTGCTTCTATTGTTCCTCTCCCCAGTCAGAGCAAATCTTGACCCTGCAGACTCTTCAATTAATAGTTAGGAATTGAATCTCTGTATTCAGGGGCAAGGATGTCTTTATCTACTTCTCTGAAGCATTCATCTGTTTTAAGTTGAAAAGGGTTCTTCTCTCCAGAGTATAAGCTAACAGTGTTTAAGAGATTTTATATTGTACACCACAAGGCTGTTGTTAGGCTTTGCTCAAATAAGTGGGAAAATGCTACTTTGATATCATCACAGCTTATAACCATTTATCTCACTCATGGGTTGAGGACAAGATGAAAGCCATGTAAAAGGGGAAAATAAGAATGATTGCCGAATTATTTGGACTTGTAAATAATTAACTGTAATGTACGATGCTGTTACTCTGCTATTCTGCTATTCTGCTCTGCTATTGTATCAGGATAAAAAAACAACCCTCTCTTTAGGAAAGATAGGAGAAATGAAAATGAAAGCAAATGGAAAGTAATATCCCTACATCACATTTAATCAGGTCTGATGAAGATCTGGCAAAGTGTTTCTCAAACTTAGCAACTTTAGGCTGGCTAGGGGATTCTGGGAGTTAAAGTCCACACAACTTAACACTGCCAAGGTTGAGAAACAGTGATGTAGTAGCTGTTTTTTGTACACTCCCCTGTTGACTTTGGATAGTGTAATCCTTAGTTTTGTTTGTTGTCACTTAATGCGTTCTGTGAAGTTAACTCATTAATAATTGTGAAGTTACAATTATTTAATTGTATAAGGTAGTGTGTGAACCCAGAAAATAAATTCAGAAACCAGGTTAATTATGTTATCAATCAATCAATCAGAATACAGCTGGAAGGGACCTTGGAGGTTTTGTAGTTCACCCTCCTGCTCAAGCAGGAGTCCCTATACCATTTCAGACAGGTCCAGTCTCTTCTTAAAAACTTCCAGTGATGAAGCACCCACAACTTCTGGAGGCAAGCTGTTCCACTGGTTAATTGTTCTCACTGTTAGGAGGTTTCTTCTTAATTCCAGGTTGCTTCTCTCCTTGATTAGTTTCCATCCATTGTTTCTGTTATGTGACATGCCAAGTTATGTTAATCCAGTTTATAATTCAATGAAACTTTGGAGTCTGTCTTCTCCTGAAATAGAACACACGTGGGCAAACTTTTCATTGCTAAATACAGCACTTAATATTTGTTGTTGTGTGCATGCAGGGCTGAGTGCATGTGAAGACCATAGCAGATGAAGCAAATGTGAGCCATGGTTTATCCCTGGACATATTTAGATAGTTTGAAATTCCTGCCTATGGCACTTTGTATGCTTTTTGAATTATAGTAATTTCCTGGCTCTCCTTGTGTTCCTTATCAGAGACTAGCCACATGGCCTAACCATAATTTTATTTGTAAACCACCTAGAACAGTGGTTCTCAACCTTTCTAATGCCGTGACCCCATAATACAGTTCCCCATGTTGTGGTGACCCCCAAGTGGGTGTGGCCACCAATAAGAGGGAGTAGGACAGCTAGGGAAAAGGGAAAAAAATGGCGGACAGCGTGGGTTGGTGACCCCCGTGAAATGGCCGTTCGACCCCAAATGGGGTCCCGACCCACAGGTTGAGAACCACTGACCTAGAAGCACCCAAAGGTGCTTTTCAAAAGGCAAATGGACTTTCTTTGTATTTTCTTTGAAGATGTTTCACTTCTCATCCAAGAAGCTTCTTCAGTTCTGACTGAATGGTGGGGAGTGGAGGGATTTATATTATTTGTGGTCATCTGATTGTTAGCACTCTGAAGGTTGGTGATTAGCATTCTGAGAGGGTTGAGGTCACCTGGGGATTTATCTGTACATTCAGGGTCACCTGAATCAGAGTGCAAATAGATGTGGAGCTTTCTTGGAATTGCTGAAAGGACTGTGTTGTAGACAGGAGATAGGTGGTATCATATCCCTCCCCCTCTGTTGAGAGAGGGCTTTTCAATTTTAACATAGATGGCCTCTTTTACTCCTAGACGCCTAGAAGCACTTAAGTGTGATGGACAGTATAAAAATAAATAAAATTTATCAGGCATCTTTGTTTATATTTGTACCACATGTACATGCAAATGTGTAGCACATCCTTTTGACTGGCAATGAAGTATGAAGACAACCTTTCTTTATATATATATTATATATATTCAACGGCACTCACAGATTTATTTGCTTCCTCTTCTATCTTGTACAAGAAGAAATAGACCTATCCCAAAAATTGATTTGATTGAATTGAATTATAAATTCAGTCAGGTAAATAAAAATACATTTAAGGAAATAAGATAGAAAATGATGCTTCAGATATCCTACCAATTGGGAAATGGGGAAATCAAACCAAAGCAGGCAGCTTGTTTCTGCTATTAAGATGGGGGGGAAAAGCTTGTGTAGGCTCTTATAGATGGTGCAGCTGCCATCAAAGCCCTGATGAATATTTCATGGCTTCCTTGCTTAGTTTTTCAATAATAGAACAGTTGACTTTGGGTTGGTGTTCAACTCTTCCCCACCTCTGTCAGCAGCCTTTTCTCTGCCTTGTGTATTTTTTATTGGTCGCCCTTATCCTCTCTTCATGAAAGAGGGTGTAGCCGGGTGCAAAACAGTTCCCCTTTTTCCACATAGTTCTCACCCTCTACACACAGGTGAGACACATATGCCAAACTAGATGTAAGAGATCATTGCAGTGCAGATGATGATGGTGATACTGGATGTATTGTAATGCATATTTGTATCTATATAAAATTATATAGTTCTATGTTTATCATATTTTATGTATTTTGATATTTTTATGGTGGGGGTGATAGTTTTAGTTTCTCTGCTATGGTCTTTCAGTTCTTACTCATCACATGCAGGTGAGACACCTATGCCAAACCAGATGTAAGGGATCACTGTAGTGCAGATGATGATGATGGTGATGATGACAATACTGGATATATATAGTTCACATTTTTATCTGCATAAAGCTTTATAGTTTTCTGTTTTTCATACTTTTCTGGTGGGGTTGCTAGTTTTAGTTACTCTGCTATGGTTTTTCAGTTTATCACTTTAGGGCAGGGGAAGCAATGTGCTTTAGGCAGCCTTTCCAATGTCATTGGAT